GGGAGGCGTGACCCATGAGGTGCTTGGTGTCAGGGAGCAATGTGGTCAGCAGTGGCAACCTGTGCAAAGGCCCTGGGGCAAGACTATGCTTGATGTATTGGAGGAGCAGCGAGGAAGCCTTGTGTCTGGAGCAGAGGGGTTGAGGAGGGAAGAGGGAGGAGGGGAGGACAGGAAGGGGACAGGGCAGGGCATGCAGGGCCTGCAGGGCCTGCAGGTGTGGGAGGATATGGCCCTTGAAAACAGCTCTGCTTAGAATTTTCACCAGGAGTCCTAGAGGACTGTGGGCAGAGCAGGGCATGCCCTGGCCTACATATTTTTCTTTTTTAATGAAAAAATTTTAATATTCTGGAACAAGAACAACTATGAATGAAACCATTGCCCAGCTCTAAAATAACTCCTGGCCAGTTTCATTCACCCACCAACCCCAGTCCCTGAATTATCCTAAAGTAAGATCCAGGCCTCCTGTCATTTCATTATGAATATTCGGGAAGTTAAACATCAGGGACTCATTTTCTCAGTTGTCTTCCCCCCACCCTGCCATGGTTTGTTTGAATCTGGATCCAAAATGCATAGACATTGAGGATGGCAGAAACCTCTTAGTTTTCGAATCAAACTTAGATCCACTCACTGGTGTGCAGTGAAACCATTCTATTGACATGGGGTCATGGCGAAGGAAACCGCAGGGTTTATCGCAGGTGCCAAGCAAGAAGCCCAGGCAGCTAGTGCTTAAGACCTGAACTCTTAGGTGGCCCTCAGGGAAAAGTGGTTTTCATTTGTTTGTTTTTTAATATTGGGGAAAAGACTTTAAAGACAGGGTGAGGGAGGGGTGTTTCAGGGTGTGTGTGATCAGGTGGTGGACATTCTTCTGACTGGTTGGTGGTGAGGTAGTCAGGAGTCAACATCATTAACTCTCTGGTTTTAATCAGCTTAGGGCCTCCGTGCTTATGGGCAGCATAGTTAACTTCTACCACCTGGGGGCAGGGGGAAACAACTGAAAGGACCTGGCTCAGGATTTTTTTTTTTTTTTTTTTTTTTGTCACACTGCATGTCATATGGGCTGTCAGTTCCCTGACCAGGGACTGAATCTATGTTCCCTGCAGTAGAAGTGCAGAATCTTACCACTGGACCACCAAGGAAGTCTGCTGGCTCTGGATATTAGCTATAGCACCTGAGAAGGAATTAAAAGTCCTTGGTTTTAGTGACTAAACTATTTTTGTCTTGACTCTTTTCCTTTGTTTCTGCATTTTGTCATTTCTTTGATTTATTCTTTTGAACTCAGGGAAGACCTAGGAGGCTATTTTCTATAGACAAAAGGCAGGTAGAGGACAAGGGGGTGGTCTGTCCTGAGAAGGCCCCAGAGGGTCATTTTGACACTCCTGTCTTTTTCACTAGTGATTTGTTTGTTGAAGTTGTTTTGTGTTTTGTCCCATAGTATCTCCCAGTGTTTTGATCTGGCTGATCTTGTCTCTGAGTGGTGTTTAGTCTCTTCTGTCCACCCCCAATTCAGGGCTTCCCAGTTATCGATAATAGTAAAGAACCCACCTGCCAATCCAGAAGACATATTAGGAGACATGGGTTTTATCCTGGGTCAGGAAGATTCTCTGGAGGAGACAGTGGCAATCCACTCCAGTATTCTTTCCTGGAGAATCCCATGAACAGAGGAGTGTGGCAGGCTATACAGTCCATAGTGTCGCAAAGAGTTGGACATGACTAAAGCGACTTAGCACACATGCTGCCCACCCAATCCACCACCACCCCAGTGTCCTCTGTAAACCATTAAGGAGATGTAGATGGGCCAGCCACTCTCCACATGTGGCTACTTTTTAAATTGATTTAATTGAAAGCATGCAATAGCCATATGAGAACAGCACAGTTGTAGAGTGTTTGCTTCCACAGAAAATTCTGGACAGCCCTGTTTACCTCAGGTCCAGCTTTTCGGAGGTGCATAGCCTCACCAAGGAGGCCCCGGTCAGTGTGGCCCCAGTTTAGTTCAATTCAGTCGCTCACTCCTTTCAGACTCTTTGTGACCCCATGGATTGCAGCATACCAGGCTTCCCTGTCCATCACCAACTCCTGGAGCTTGCTCAAACTCATGTTCATCCAATCAGTGATGCCATCCAACCATCTCAACCTCTGTCATCCCCTTCTCCTGCCTTCAATTTTTCCCAGCACTAGGGTCTCTTCCAAGGAGTCAGTTCTTTGCATCAGGTGGCCAGAGTATTGGAGTTTCAGCTTCAGCCTAAGTCCTTCCAGTGAATATTCAGGACTGATTTCCTTTAGGATTGACTGGTTTGATCTCCTTGCTGTCCAAGGGACTCTCAAGAGTCTTCTCCAACACCACAGTTCAAAAGCATCAATTCTTCGGCGAAAGCGGGGAGCGAGGGGGGAGCGGGGGGCAGGGGTCAAGGCCCTCCTGTGCTGACTGGGCGCTGGCCCGCAGCTGCACCACCCGTCTCAGGGCTTCCGTTTCGGCACGGTGTGGGAGAGCAGCGCCGAGGCCTACATCAAGAAAAGCTTCCCGGAGATGTATTCACACGTGCGGCACCATAGTGCACCTACCACTCCCCACGGCGTCGCCATGCTCACGTGAGGGAGGCGTGCGGGGTGGGGCTCAGGGTGGGGCCACGCGGGCGGGTGGGCGGGGATAGGGATGCTCATCCTGCCCCCATGCCCTCCGCAGGAGCGATCCCCCCAAGCTCAATGCCTTCATCATGGACAAGTCGCTCCTGGACTATGAGGTGTCCATCGATGCCGACTGCAGGCTGCTAACCGTGGGCAAGCCCTTCGCCATTGAGGGTGAGGAGTCCCCAGGACCAGTGATCTGCGGGCTCCAGGAGGGTTCTGCTCCTCTGGGTCTGCATCTAGCCTGGTCCCAACCCAATGCCCGGCCTCCCCCAGGCTATGGTATCGGACTCCCCAGAAATTCTCCGCTCACCTCCAACCTGTCCGAGTTCATCAGCCGCTACAAGTCCTCCGGCTTCATCGACTTACTGCACGACAAGTGGTACAAGATGGTGCCTTGTGGGAAGCGGGTCTTCGCCGTGACGGAGGTGCGGCAGGTCCCCGCATGCGGGGTGCGGGTCGGCGTAGGGGAGCCCCCGAACCTGCGTGGTCCTTTACCAGGGTAGTCAACCTCTGCTCATTTCCAAAACGAGTGTATTTGTCTGCTTTTGTGCATCCTATTCATCTTACAAAACCCCAGCTCTAGTGCCCTCTTGTCCATGACACCGCTGAAAATGTAGCCCCAGGCCCTTCTCTCTGGCCCAACCTCTGTCCCCGCTTCCGTCCAAGGCCCGGGCTCCACCGGGGTCTGGTATGACCCAGAGGGACTATGTGCCTGCATCCTGCCCACAGACCCTGCAGATGGGTGTCTACCACTTCTCCGGACTCTTCGTGCTGCTCTGCCTGGGTCTGGGTAGTGCTCTGCTCAGTTCTCTGGGCGAGCATGTCTTCTACCGCCTGGCGCTGCCGCGCATCCGAAGGGGCAACAAGCTGCAATACTGGCTGCACACGAGCCAGGTGAGGAGCTGGCCAACCCAGCTGGCAGTGGGGCAGGAGGGGGGCTGGGGGGGGGGTGCTGTCTTCCCGCTGAGCCGAATTCTTGGCTCCTAGAGAATTCATCGTGCCCTCAACTCAGAGCCGCCAGAGGGGCAGGAGGAGGCGGAGTCGAGGTAAGGGGTTTGGGGGATGGTTCTCCACCCTAGCAACTCCCACACCTGCCCTCCGACCTTGGGCTGGGTCCACACTTCCTTCCACTGGCAACCTCCTCAGGAACTTTGATCCTAAAGGGCAGACAGGGACTGTGGGTAGGACGTGGCTGCCCAGCCCATCCATCCCCCAGGGGTCTCGAGGAGCCGCAGCAGAACACACAGGCCGCCGCTGCGAGCCGGGCAGGCTGGACACGGGTGCGCCGGGCCGCCGTGAGGGAGCGTCGAGTGCGTTTCCTGCTAGAGCATACTGTGGTCTCTGCCTCCCCGGACGCGGATGCCCCAGATGCGGATGCGGCCACACCACCCGAGGCCCCCGTCTGCTCCAATGGCCCGCCCGCCGAGCTGCGGTCTGGCGCCCCGCTCCCCGGGGAGCTGGAGGAGCTGGAGCAGCGCATCGTGCGCGCGCAGGAGAGGCTCCGCCAGGCGCTGCTGCGGCGCAGGGCGCTCCTGGCCCAGCTTGGGGACAGCACCTGCGAGCCGCCGTGCACATGGCTCCTGGCCTGCGAGGAAGCACGGGAGATGGCCCCCTGAAGTGGGATCCAGCCTTTCTCCACCTGCTGTGCCTGCTCTGAGGGGGCCACCCGGCCATAGGGTGGGTGGAACCTCCTTTCCCCCGCGGCTCCCGGGGCCCCCCACCCCCGCCCCAACACACAGACGCTGGCTGGACGCTGTCAACAGTTTATTCTATATACAAACACCATTTTGTACACTGCAATTAAATAAGAGTGGAATGAGCGCTCTTCTGCATTCCTCACAGAGTGATTGGGTTGGGTCACCGGCCATCTCCCCACCCAGAGCAGGGCGGAACCCCGGTGCCCCTGGCTGCCTTAGATGTTGGCGCCTATGCACCATTGGGGCCGAGCTCCACCTTCCCGGGGCCCCAGCCCGGGCGCGTAGGGTGGCCGTGGAAAGGCACTGGGCATGACAGAGCACCAGCCAAGCCAGCCCCACCCGATGCTTTGCTCCGGGGCAGCTTGCTCCAGACTTTTCACCACCTTTTCAGAACCTTCCATGGAGCCCCCACCCCTTCTCCTACCCTGGTTCACAGGCTGGTCTTGATTTACTAGCTGAGGAGACCCACCAGGGACAGGGACAGGCTGTAGGCTGGCCCCATGCCCTGGGGGAGAGATGCCTGCCTCCCAGCAAACATGATGGACCCCAAACCACCTAAGGCAGGCTGAGCATTCCCAGAGCCACTGGGGACAGTCTCCCTGATCCCCGAGGGCTCCAGCCAGGTCACACCCAGCTGGCTTGGATGGCCAGGGACAGAGGCAGTCAGCTGCCCAGGGTTCAGGAGCCGACCTCTGAGGGCGTGCCCACTAGATCGGTGGACGCAGGGCTGGGCCTGCCCCCCCCGGTGGTCTGAGGGATTGCATCAGACCCTGGAGAGTTGCTTGTAGGGGCATTGTCCTGCAGGGCCCGTGGGAGCCCCCCACTGGGGCTCAGGGGGCTGGCTGGCCGCCGGTCCAGGAGAGAGGCGCTCAGGCCAGACAGGAAGGAGGCGTCTGTGATGATGGCAGCCGTCTCTGCCATCCAACCCAGGTCACCACTGGCTGCTGCAGCCACTGAGGCTGCTGCGGCCACCAGGGAGCTAGGTGCCTCAGCCACGGGCCCGGGGCCCCCGCCAGCACCTGGCAAGCCAGGGCCCAGGGCAGGGGACTGGTTGGCAGCGTCGGGGGTGATAGGTGGGATGCCTCCATTGTTGTTCAGGTCGTCCGGCAGGGCCGTGGGAGTGCCGGGGCCCAGTGGTGGTGTTTGCAGCAGCATCTCCTGGACACGGATCTGCTGCAGGATGGCAGGTAGTTCATAGTGGTGGAAGAAGTAGATCATGGAATGCTGGGGGGACAGGCACTGGGTCAGGCGAGGGACCCCCAAAAGGCTGGACCCTCGGACTGCCAGTCCCAAGGAAAGCCCACCTCACCTGGATGAAGAGCCAGGAGGTGACGAGTGCCAGGCTGCTGTACTGCCCGTTGAAGCGATAGTGGTAAGCATAGAAGGCAAAGTGGTACAGGTAGAAGAACCTGCAAGGGAAACAGTGAGGCGCTGCCCACCTGGCTGCCTCCACCCCAGACCACATGGCCCCTGGTGCCCACCGAAGCCAGTGCCGCTTGCTGGTGTTGGTGTGGCAGCAGATGGCGTCATACTGGTCAGCCAGCCACACAATGAGGATGATGTAGAAGGCTGTAGTGGTGTCGTTGAAGAACTCGGACATGATCGCCTCCATTCCTGGGGGGGAGACGGGAGCCACCGGTTGAGGCGGGTGGCCAGCACGCCAGGGAAGGGGGCAGGGTGTGGGGGCACAGGGTCCTCACCCACAAGGGCCAGGATGACGGTCAGCAGGGGCGCTGCGGGGAAGGCGATGGCCATGTTCATCTCCAGCATCTGCAGCAGGTCCACTGCGGGAGAGGGCGGCGGGCGGGCAGACCGGGTGAGGCGCCCGGAAGGGGGGAGGGGCAGGGGAGATGGCCAGAGGGGACACTCACCAATGAAGACGAAGATCTGGTGGTGGGAGTAGCGCAGCAACATGGACACACTCAGGGTCTGCAAGTGGGCCACCGTGAGGCTTTGGATGGTTGCCCCGCCCCGCCCCACCCCACCCCACCCCACCCTGCTGAGGCACTCACAAAGATGACCATGATGACGAAGGCGGCCAGGTAGGACGTGCGGGCCATCCACATGCTCACGAAGCGGTAGTGCTCGCCGGACACCACATTCCTCAGGAAGCCTGCATGAGGGGTGGAGTGGAGGAGGCAGTGAGCAAGCGCCCCAGCCCAAGACCCACCTAAGCAGGCCCCACCTTCGCCCTCGCACCTTTGTTCTCCTCATTCTCCGCCAGGCCCTTCACACTGGACATAAGGATGTCATCATAGCCCAGGAACTCAGCCAGGAGCAGGCGGCTGAAGCGGTCACCAAAGCACTGGTCCCGTGTGGGATCTGTGGGTAGGACCGGGACAGGGATGTTAGTCCAGGGGCACAGAACTCCACTGCCCAGCAGAGCTGTGACTGACAGGTGTGGAGGAATGGAGCCTTGGGAAGTTTCCTGCAACTGGACAGCAGGACCAGCCCTGAGACCTTGGACACAAGTACTTCCGGGTCACCCCTCCCCAAGGAAGACATCCAAGACTGAGGAGAAAGGAGCTCCCTCTCCTGGGCATTGCTCTGTTCGGCAGGGGCACTCACCCAGGGTGACCACCATGACAGGGATGCTGAGCCGCTGGCGCGTGGCCTGCGACAACCTCAGGAAGCCATACTCCAGCGAGTACTCCACGATGTACTCGTCCTGTGGCCAGGCTGCAGGCGGGGATGGCTGGTCAGCAGAGGAGCCCTCTCCTGGGAGGGCTAGGGGGACTGCACCACACCCCCACCTCCGTCACTGGACGTAGCCCCAGGGAGTGGTGGTACCTTTTGGGGGCGTCTCAGGGAATGGGAACTCCTGGCTGTCATTTAAGGCCTCGGGGCCACCTGGTGGCTTGAACACCTTGGGCTCGATGTCCAGCTCAAACTGCACAGTGGGAGGCAGAGGTCAGCAAGCCCTTGGTACCAAAGGGTTGGCCTGAAGGTCTCTGCACACCCCCCCCCCCCCGCAATAAAAGGAGATGTACCCCTGACCCATAAAAGCTCTAATCCAAACATTGAGCTCCCTGAGATTTCCGGGTGAGGATATGAAGAACAGGATCAGTGAGGTGGGGCCTCCTATTGGGTCTGTACCAACACTCTGCCCACACCCACCCCTGGCCTCTGGCCACCTGAGCACAGCCCTCCCTCTGGGTTCCCCATCTTGTGGGCAGCCACACCACCAAGGATGGCCAGGACCACCTCAGAGCTCTGAGCCCAAAGCCTGCTTCTCAGCCTGTCTGCCCTCAGCACCCCAGAACCAGGCCTTCAGTAGACAGCTGGGAAACAGCCCAACAGGTCAGGAGTGTTCCCTGCAGCCCTGACCATGCCCCGGCTGCTCACCTTGATGGAGCTGTTCCCGAACATGTCCATGGTCAGCTCCTCCTCCTCCTCCTCCTCTAGCTCCAGGCCATCTGGCTCCACAGCCAGGCCAGGGAAGCTGCCATGGCCACCATCGCAGAACTGCAGGAAGACGGGCGCGCGGCTTGAGTTGTGTTGCACCTCTACCCGCAGGATGCCCTCACGCGGCCACTTGTCACGCACGTGCTCCAGGCAGTTGATGGGTGAGCGGGAGAAGACGATGTGGATGTAGGCCAGGACAAACAGCACAAACAGGGCCTGCAAGGCAGGGAGCGGTCAGAGGGGAGCTGCCTGGGACCCCCACCCCCAGATGGAGGACACCTCCCAGTACAGGCCCCCACAGCTGTAGAGCCTCCCATAGGCCAGCCTGCACCGGGGCCAGAGATGTGGCCACAGGCTCAGTGTCTCTGGGAACCCCAAGCACCTCTCCACAACATGTATGGGGACCTGTGAGCTGACGATGGGAGTCAGGAAAGTGTGGGACCTATGGTGGCAGCCGGCTGTGGTCAGAGCTGACCCACAGCCCCAGCTGTGCTCTCTGGGCCCCAATGTCCAGCAGGAGCCATGTCCAGGACACCGTTCACTCTCAGCCATGAGGACAACACCACACCACATGCTGAGACATCACAGAAAGCGCTGACATGCAGGTGGCCTGATGCCAGGGGCTGCCCGAGCTCGTCCCTGCAAGGCATGTGCCTGCCATCATCCCCAGTTTGCAGATAGGAAAACAAGGCAGAGGCCACACAGCCAGGACGGGGTGGAGCCAGGAGTTAAACCTGGAGGAAACACCACGCAGGGCAGCTGGGTCCTGAGAGGGGCATATGGATAGATGGGGGACCCGTGACCTCAAAGAGTGGCCAAGTCCCCACTGTCACCCTAGAGTCCCCTCCAGCGCCCCGCACAGCCCCCCTACCATGAACTGAAACCCCAGGTGGGGTCCATCACCCTGACCAATTGGGTGGGTGCCTAAAGACAAGCCAAGACTCTCGCTCCACTGGACAAGGCCTGACCCTGAGCTGAACCTGGTTCCCCACCGCCTCTGTGGAACAAGCTGGCAAACAGCTGCCTCCTAAGACCTATCGGCAGACACACCCGGCGGCCCCACCCCTTTATCCCTCTCAGCATTTCAGGAATCCATCCAAGGCCTTTTCTGTCCTCTGCCTGGCAGCTGGCCTGGCCATATCACAGGCCCTGGATGCTCCAGCCCCCAACCTCTGGTACCCTGTGACCGAACACTCCACCTCATTGGCCACGCTGTCCCGTCAGCTCCAGGGCCTCTGCACACGCCATCCCTGCACCCACCTTCTTCCTCCCAGCCTGAGGCTGTCTCCTCTGACTTGGACCCTGCCCTGATGGCTGCTGCCTCTCCCCGCTTCCTCCTGGTCCACCACTCATCTCTGGTCCCAGAGACTGGCACAAGGTGGCAAGGAGCAAGGAGAGGGGACCCGCTCTAAAGGTGGGAGAACAGGTGCCACAAGAGGCGACCAAGTGAGGCGGGGAGGGGAACTTGATCCCTGCAGCAAGAGTCCAGAAGCTAGGCAGCTGGAAAGCAAAGAAGGGAGCTTTCTGGAACTCAGGCAGCCTCAGAGATTGGTGAGCTCAGCCCTCACTTTGCAAAGGAGGGAAACCAAAAGCACCAGGGGTCAGGGAGGGACCTGAGAACTGAGAGGGGCCTTCTGGCCTCAGCCCCGTGGAGAGAAAAGATGTAGGGAGCTAAGGGTGGCCTGATCCCGCGGGCCCCCACACCAGGGGCACAATCTGGATGTGCGGCCTGTCTGCTGAGTCGGCCCAATCCCTGACTTGCTCCTTGGTCCCAATTGGGAAGCAACCAGAAGAACAAAGCCAAGGGCTCAGGCCGGACTCTCAGGAAGGCTGAGCTCCATGGGGGCCCACCTCACACAGGGCACTCCCTCCCTCGGGTGATATGGGCTCCTCCTGAGTGTGCAGGGAGGTCAGGGCTTCCTTCCAGGAGGCAACCACGCCCACACTTGGCCTTCTGCCCACTCTCAAGCTGCTCATGGGTCCCACGCACCAGGTAAGAGAAGCCCTACTGGGGAACCCTCCAGAGTCGAGGCCCCCGGGGGGGCGGGACACCTGCTGCTGCTCGGGAACTGGGAGGCTCAGTGGGGACCCACTCCCAGGTCTGTAGGACAGCCCTGCACGCACCCCTGCTACCCAACCCCAAAGAGCTGGCGGCTCCCAACCTCGCTGGCCCGTGCCCCACCTGCCTCAGACCCCTTTCTGTGGATATGGAATTCAAGCTCCCTCGTAAGTCGGCAACCTTGGCCCCGGCCCCCACCCAGGGGGCACCCTAAGACAGGACACAAACACGAACAGCCATTTCCCCATTTCCTCAGACCCGCCAGACAGCCGGGGTCCGGGACCCAGCGGCTCCCTAACACCCCTCCTTGGAGGGACCCGCGCCGGCCCTCCAGAACAGCCGAACCGCCCACACAGCCGAGGGAGGACAGGGGGCGGATCCGCGGGGACGCCCCTCACCAAGCCACCAGCGGCACCGCTGGCTGGGGCTCTGCCAGGAACCCTGGTGACGTGACCTCGGCCTGGTCACCTTCCCCCAGAGGTTCAGAAGGGGTAGAATCTGAGTTGGAGCAGAAGGGCTCCAGGAGGCGCGCCCCAAGAAAAAGGGGGAGAGAAAAGTAGGGAGCAGCTTCCGGTGCAGGTGGGCGGTCCGGGGGTGTGTCCAAAGAGGCGGCAGTGGCGGTTGGGCCTGGAATCCTAGGGTATGTGGTTCGCGGCGAGGTCAGGCTCGGTAGTGGGGACGGGGTCATCCCGGGAGGAGGATCCCAGGCAACAGGGTCGAGGGTCACGGGACTGGGCTCCGGTCTCCCGAGGTGGGGACACCGGAAGGGCGAGGCCAGCGGTAGGGTGCGGCCTGGAGGAGCTGGGAGTGAGTTTCTGGAATCGGGATCAGGGGCCACTAACCCGGGGAGGCCCGGGCCTTGCGGGGTGGAAGCTTCTGGGAAGGGGAGCGGAGGCGGCAGGCTTAAGGGAAGGGTCAAAACCGGCCCCGCCGGGTCTATGCCTCCAGGAAGGAGGGGCACGCGGCCCCGGGCGGAGTCAGAGGTCGAACTCAGGGGTAGGGGGTCCATCCGCCGGGGTTAAGGGTCGGGGCCGCGGTCACCTTGAGCAACACGAAAAACTCGAAGAGCCGACGGAAGGCGGGCGGGAAGAGGCGCGAGTAGGTGACAGCCATCTTGAAGAAGAGCGCGTGGAAAAGCCGGTCGCGCACGTTGATGAGAGGATTGGGGTTGAGGTTGGGGGTGCGAGGCCCGCGCGCGGGGGCCGGGCCGCCGCCGCCGCCGCCGCCGCCGCCACCACCACCGCCGTTGGGCCCAGGCCCCGGGGCCCCGGGTGCCGCGTGCTCCGACATGCCGCCCAGTGTAGCACCCTAACGGCCCGCGGCTCCCCGAGGGCGCCTCCTGGCCGCCATCGGCAGTCTTCGCCGCCGCCGCGCTCCTCACGGCCGCCGGGCCGCTGCCGCCATCTTCCGCCTCCGCTCCCCAGCTGACGCCAGCGAGTCGCCGCGACGGCTAGAGCGGCCTCCTTGCGCTCGCGGAGCACGCTGGGAAACCGGCGGCCGACCCGCGGTGGCTCCGCCTTCTGGAGTCTCAGCCAGCTCGGGAGCGCCGAGGGGCGGGGCTGCGGGCCCCGGTCTCTTGCATATTGCCCCCACTAGCCTCCACCGCTGCAACTCGAGCGTCAAAATTAGTCAATATCTGAGGTGTTTAGAAGTGATAAAATATATTGAAAGGAAATACGACTGTTGGAGCTGTCTTCTACGTTGCACTCTAGAAAACTATACTGAAAATAGGCTCAGAGTAGAGTGTTCTGGCTGAAAAGTGATTTAATTTGCGGTCTTTAAATTACGTCCCCAGAAGTGTACGGAATTCTCCTTTCCGCCGGGGCCGCTCTGCCCCTAAGCAGACTAACCTGATGCGCCGTGAAGTCATAAAGGCCCGTGATGTTGCAGGGCCTCGCTTAGTTAAGTACTACCTCCCCCTCGTCGCGGAGGTCGGTGACTGGAAGGACTGACGGACCTCTCTCTGCACTTGGTGGTGGTCTGGGGGATTTTAGGGGTCTAGAAGAGGCTAAGCGAACTGCCTTTGCCCAACCTTCTAGCCTTCGGTCCGTTCCCGACTTTTGGTTGTTCAGTCGCTCAGTCGTGTTGGACTTTGCGACCTCATGGACTGCAGCACGCCAGGCTTCCCTCTCCTTCACTCTCTCCAGGAATTTGCTCAAACGCGTGTCCACGGAGTCGGTGATGCCATCCAACCGCCTCATCCTCCCTAGGTTTTCCTCCTGAGAACGCGGGCCGCTCAGCACCACCCATCTCTCTCCGGCTCTTAGGGCGTCAGACCCGCGGTTCCAGTCTTTCTAGGACGACTGAGCAGACAGCCCTTTGTCAACTAAAGCGGGATGGCAAATGGTGTATACCTGACCAGGCCCTCCTTGTTGACTGCCACCAGTTGCCTGCCCGAGATGTCCCAGACCTGGGAGCCCACATGTGAACTACAGACATGCTCATTCATTCATCTTTGAAAAGCCTGGGCGCCTCCTAGCAGCCATGGCAGTAATAGAATCCAACATTCACTAGGCACCTACTCTATGCCAGGTACAGTACTTCCATTCCATGCTCCAAAGCAAGAACGGGTGGGCTGCAGCAGGGAGCATGGCCGGTCAGGAGGAGCCAGAGGCTGGGTGTGGGAGAGGACACCTGAGTACAGACACTGGGGAAGGATACCCAGGGAACATTAAGGGACAGTCAGGGCCTCTGAGAAAGACCAGGGTGTGAGGCAGGCATGGCGGGGAGGAGACTTTTCAGCTGTTCTAGAGCCTCAGAGAACGTTCCAGACCTACCTGCCTGGTTTCATAATCCTGGGAGCCCCACTTCCTTGAGGTGGACAGGAAGCTGAGGTCATCCCATCTCTTCCTGTTTCATAGAGAATGCCCTGTATGGGGGCCTAGCATACAGTGGCTGCTCAACCAATGCACATTCTTGACATTGTTACAGGCCACCCCAGATCATTTATTGGTCACAAAAGGAGAACACAAACTCCTCTTTTATAATGGAGAGGCCAGTCGATGTACCCTTGACCTGGGGAGAAAACCCAGCTGCTCAGTGGGGGTGGGGTGGGGGGGCTGTGAGTCCCTGAAATGTGCAGTGAGGTCTAATGCGTTAGCCATATTCAACTTCTAAGTTCTGGAAATGTGGCCAGTGCAGCTGAGGAATGGGATTTTAAACTTTATTTTTATTGAGGTAATTTGTATTGAAGTAGGGCCGTGTGGCAAGCGACTGCTGTACTGGTAATCCCCGTCTAGCACTCACTTCAACGTTAGGGAGACACTCGACTCGGGAGCAAATGAAAGTTACTGTCACAAAAAAGGAAAATGGGGGGAAACAGTTCTAAATCTAAGACAAAGATACGGAGAAGGACCAGAATCCGCACTTCTGGGAACAGTTGGAGACTTTATTTTACTTTATTTTATTCTTTTTTATTTGGAGGATAACTGTTTTACAATGTTGTGCTGGTTTCTGCTGTTGTTTTTTGGTTTGGGTTTGTCTTCTGTTGGGGACTTCAGAAGATGGCTGGATCTCACAAGATGCTGTGAATGTCACTTGGGACCTGAATGGGATGTGTGAGTGGCATTGGGGCTGGGAGTCCTGGTTAGGGCTCACTGAGGAGGTTCTAGAAGGCAGACAGTGAACAAGCCAGGTGGAAAGAGTCAGGTAGAGAGCACCGCGGGAGCAAAGGCCCTGAGGTAAGCCTGTAGCTGATTATTGGAGGCAGAGCGAGGAGAAGCCCCATGCCTCTGGAGTACAGTGAGCCAGGGAGACCTGGGGACCTGGAGATGCCTTTGTTGAGGGGTGATAGGGAGCCTGGCAGATTGTGAGCAAGGGAGATGCTGACCTCAGTTAACAGGCTTGTCATTTTTACTGTAACTATCATTGTTTTCTTGTCACTGCATCATTTGGCACATAGGACCCCTGGGGTCTCATGCAAAGCCCAGAAGGCCCTCACCGCACCTGCAGCCCCTGTGCCTACCCACTCAGACCCTGGGGCCCAGCACCCAAGGCTGAGGCTCCAGGGTTTCCTGCAACCCCAGGTCATCCAGCCGTGGCCCCCATCCCAGAGTACTTGAATCTGTCCCCAGTGAGCCTGTGTCACTCCACAGCCGTCCTACCCCCACAGTGTCCCCAGGGTCAGTCCTGGACAGAGAGATGAGCGCCAGCGTTCAAGGCTGTAGGGCAACTGCAGAGGCCCCAGGCCTCCCGGCTATGTTCCGAGGCTGAGCCAAAATTCCTGAGATTTTGACATGCCTTTATCTCAGCTGACCGGGAATTTGAACCCAGGTGGGGCCCACTGAGGTTGTAAGATTACACAGAACCACATAGTTCTGTAAGCTTCAGGTCCTGGGGGAAGTTTCTCAAATTATAATATTCTAAGCTTTTGGAACCTCAGGGTTTTGAATTCTCAGATGTCTGACCTGAATTTCTGGGTTTCAGGAGGCTAAGAATATAGTGTGTTCTCAGTTGTTCAGTTGTGTCCGACTCCTTGCTATCCCATGGGCTATAGCCCACCAGGCTGGCTCAAGTCTCCTTCCCACTACTGCCAGCCCCCACAGTGCCCTGGTCCTGCCCACCCCCTGTGGAATCTGCAAGGAGTCCACCAGCGCAGCCCCTACCCAAACAGCTCCCCACCTAGACACTGAGAAACCACCCTGTTCCCACTGGCACATAGGACCCACTCAGATGCACTGTCTGGTTGAGCACTGGTCCCTTTTTCACAAATGATGAAACTGAGATCCGGATGGGAAGGGACTCACCCAAGACCACCCAGCTCGGACTTGAGCCCTGAAGAAAGGAGCCTTCACATAGATAAAGTTAAGGGAATTATAAAGTTAGGGAAAGAGTCAATAGACATCGAGAGAGTGGGGCACTGGGGAGGGGTGTTCCCAGGAAGGGCAGAGTGAGTAATCTCTAGGCCCTCACAGATCATTTGTCAAATGTTTCAAACTCCTACTTATGCTTCAAAACCCCACTTATCATGCCCACTCTTACATGCCTCTTTCCTTTACCCCTCCAGGGGAGCACCCACTCACTCCTGGGGTTCCTCCACCCCAGACACCTCTCTGTCCTGTACCTGCCCACATTGGGTGGGAGTGTCTATGCCAGGGTCTGTCTTCGCAGGGATGGGCAGGGCCAGAGCCATGGTCTCCTGGGAGCCAGTATAGCCTAGCAAGGGATTGGCCCAGAGGCCCTGTCATAGAGCTTTTGATGAATAAGTAAATAGGTGTGTGAATGAATGTTACTGAAAAAGTGAAATTTATTCCTTTATTAATTTATTGATTTATCTGTACAAGCAGGCAGCATGTATTGAGTGCCAAGTGTGTGCCTGGCTTGGTTCTCTTGGCGTCCTCAACTCTACCCCTAAGGCATCTCCTGACTTCAACTCTCTGCTGTTCCATCTCCCCCCCATTCCCACCATCCCCCAACCCAGAATCTAGGGTCCCTTTCATCACCCACTTCCCCAACCTATCTGATTGATCTCTGCACACTTTCAACCACTGATGGTCCAAGTCTTTGCACTTTTTGTTCTGCCAGGACAAACAATACCCTTTGGACTGGCAAACTCCTACTCCTATATCAAAGTCCCAGCGCCAGTGCCCCCCCCCCCCAACCTGCTGAGGAGCCTGTCCTAGTTCACTTGCTTACCACCCAGCTAAGAGGGTTTCCAGAAGCGGACCTAGACTGGGAGGCGCCTCTAAGCATCAAAGAAGGCGTTCCCCTGCACCCCCCCCCCCCCCCCGACATTAGTGTCCAAAGGGAATTAGGGTCCCATTCAACCATTTTCCCCGTACCATCATCATGTAGAAAGGTTAGTTGAGGCCCAGAAAGCATGGGGAGAGCCGCCCGGGAGATCCCAGCATTGAGTAGGAGGGGGTGCCGGGTCTCCGTGGTGCGGGGCCCCGTCCCTCCCGGCCTCAGTCTCCCGGGGGTTCCGAGGGGGCGGGGCGGGGGTCGGGCGGTTCAGGGGCTCAGGAAGCCCGCGGCCTCAGGAATCCGGCGCGGCGCAGCCTTATAAGGACATGTGCGCCCCGCGCCAATCAGCGGTGGGGGCGGGGCGCTGGGTCCGCGTCCCCTGTCCGCTCGCCCGCCAGCCCGGCCGTCGGTCCGTCCGTCCCGTCCCGCGACGCCGCGCCCGCCAGCCATGAGCTCCACGCAGTTCAACAAGGGGCCCTCGTACGGGCTCTCGGCCGAGGTCAAGAACCGGGTGAGTGAAGGGAGCGCCCTCTCCGCCAGCCCAGCCCGTCGCACCCTCCGCGGCTGCAGGGGGGGCGCCCCGCTGGGCTCCCCGGGCATCGGGGGCGGCCCTCCTCCCCCGAAACTCCGAGGGTGCCTCCGACGTTCCCTAAACTCTGGGGGAACAGTAAGGTCTGTGCTCTGGCACCCCCCAACATCTAGGAGCGGTTGGGTCCAACCCTTTACTCAGCCCTGCTCCCTCAGCCGCTACTCGTCTGAAGTCCCCCGCCCACCGCTCTGAACCCCCCAGCCCTGGGCCCCTCTAGCCCTTCAAGGCCTGAGAAGGTCTTGAGGGAACCCCAGCAGCCCTTTCTCATCCCCTCCCCCACTTCTGCTTTTGGACCACTTAAAACTTCGGGGAAGGAAGGGGGCGGGCCAGGTGTTTTTGAGAAGGGTGTGGCCCCCCAAAAGAATTTCCCGACTTCTTACACCTGGGAGGTGGGGCACTGGGTGGGTGGAGGGGAGCTGGAATCGAGGGGGCCTACCTTCCCCAGTCTCTTTGTCACCATCTGACATACTTAAAGAAATAGCAAAGAGGTCCCCAGTCCCCTGAATGTGACCCTAGCATGTGGGTTTTGTAACTTGAAAACGCAGGCTAGGGTGTTGGGAGGTGGGGCACTCTTCTTTTTCAGAAAGTTCTTTTGGTTCCAGCCCAGGAGGGCAGGACTTCTGCAAGGTCACACAGCAGGTTCAGTGCATCCAAGGAAACAGGAGCAGAGAGTGATCCCTGTCCCAGAGGGCAGGGGAAGAGGTCCTAAGCCCGACACACAAGGGTTTTCCAGCTGGAGGGGAGTTTGTCATCCCTGTCCACCCCCTAGGCACACACTGTCACCAGGCACCTGGGAATGTGGCCCCAGGAAGGCGGCTGACGGGAGCCTGCCTGGGCACACTGGGGACACAACCCTGCTGGCCCCCAGGCCCGTGCCAGGTCATCAGACCAGAGGGAGAGTTTCCATATCTCAACTCTGTGAGCTCCTAGGAACCTCCCTGCAGCCTATTTGGGAAGCCCAGGATCCGAGCATGGTCACCCAGCAAGCTCCCCATCTATTCCCTCTTGAACACACAATTCCACACTCCAGCAGTAACGCCTTGGTGGGGAGCAGAGTGTTGACAGTCCCCACCGAGCCAAGACCCTCTGAGGTTCCTGCTTTTAGCACATGGAGTTCAGAGACATCGCTCAGACGGCCCAGACCCACGTAACAGATCAGAGGCAGGGTCAGGACTCGAACTCAGACCTGGCATAGGCAGTGTCCGATGGCCAGCAGCCTTCCTGGGCAGCCAGGCATCTCCCCTGAAGTAGCAGGAAGTGGGTGAGGGCACAGCACCCCAGCAGGGTGGGGGCAGCTTCCTGCGATGGAGTGGGATGGAGGCAGGTTGTTACCTGCCCTGTGGGGGATGAGGTCAGAAGCTCCTTGTGACCAGCCCTCAGTCTGAGGGCCTGGAGAATGGGCGGGGCCCCCACCCCCTCACCGGAGTCACCTGGGGCCCCACCTGAATTGGAAACCAGGTTCCTGTGGTTTCTAGACCGTCCACTTTGAGAGGAGGAAGACCCCCTGCTCCCCACCCCCGGCTTCAGTCCTACTTCTGGATGGCGTACAGGCAGGCTGAGGTCCAGTGCGTACCCCTGAGATCTCCGGCTGGCTGGGGGGTCTGGACCGCTGGGAACAGCTGGTCCTGATTTAGCAGGGAGGCAGCGGCTGCATTCCTGGCAGTTTGCGGTGGGGAGGAATGCGCTGAAGGCCAGCTGGGCAGCAGGGTGGAAGGCGGCCTAGCGGGTGGGGCTGGGCCAAGCACCCCTGCCCGGGACCCTCCCTGGCCCCAGCCCCAGCGAGCTGTCGAGGATGAGGACGGGGCCCAGCTGGGCAGGCAGGCCAGAGGTCCAGACCAGCCTGGCTGCTTCAAGTTCAGCGATCCTAATAACACCCCCTCCCTCCCCCCCACCCTTCTGCCGGGCGTGGGAACCAGAGACAGGAGACAGAGGAGATCCGAGGAGGGAATGGGCTGGACAGATCAGGTTCACAGGCCAGGCTCCCGCCTTTGTCTCCCTTGCACTCTGAGCAGCTCAGCCCTGATCCCATGTCTAGGGGTTTAAATGCAGGAAGCAGGAAGAGGAGCCCAGGTCTGGAAAGCCTTATGAAGACCATTCAAACATAGCTGGGGAGACAGAGGCATGAGGTGAAACCTGTCCATGGTCATTGAGGAGGTGGGGGCTGCGAGGGCAACTCTGAGTCCTTGTGGGTGTGGAGGACAGAGCAAGGTGGGCACAGAGTGAGTAGAGGTGAAGAGGGGTCTGGGGTTGGGGCTTCCCAGGTGGTGCTACTGGTAAAGAATCCGCCTGCCAATGCAAGAGACATAAAAGACACAGGTTTGATCCCTAGGTTGGGAAGATCCCCTAGAGGAGAGCCCTCCGGTATTCTTGCCTGGAGAATCCCGTGGACAGAGGAGCCTGGTGGGCTGTGGCTCATGGGGTCGCAAAGAGTTGGACACAACTGAAGCAACGGAGCGCACACACACGGGATCTGGGCAGAAGCCCACCCAGCTGGGCAGCCAGGTCCTCAGGTTTTTACCACCCCTCCAGGGAGCTGCCCTGGGGGCAGCCAGTGCTGTATCTGATGGGGGAGCATGAGCCTCCTTACTGAGAGAGAGCCTGAGTTGGGCCGTACCTCTTGTTGCTTGTCATGAGCTTGGACCATCAGCTAGGAGACAGAGCATACCGCAAAAGGTAGAAAAAGCTAGAAAGAAGATAAAGCAGGGACTTCCCTGTGCAGGAGGCCTGGGTTCAGTTCCTGGTCAGGGAACTAGATTGCACATGCTGAAACTTCAGAGTCTGCATGCCACAAGTAAAGATCATGTATGCCGCAACAGCCAAGCCAAATAAATATTGTTTTAAAAAGAAGATAATAAGGACTGGGGGTGGGGATGCAGAGGGTCGTCACAGCCAGGTGGTCAGGAAAGATCTTTCCAAGGAGGTAACCTTCAAGCTACAACTGGATTGAAAGGAGGGACCTGTGCAAACATGAGTCCAAGGTGGCAGCATGTGCAAAGGCCCTGAGGTAGCCGCTAGTGTGGCCAGTTCAAGGAGCAGAGAAAGGTTCAGCAGTTCCAAAGTAAAGGTAGAATTATCATGTGACCAAACACTTCTACTCCCTGGTATATACCCTGAAGAACTGAAAGCAGGTTTTCAAATAAAACTTACAAATGGATGTTTATAGCAGCTTGACTCACAAGAGCCAAAAGATGGAAGTGACCCAAATATCCATCAGCGGGTTAATGGATAAGCACAGTGTGGTCCTTCCACACACAGGAGCATCACTTAGTCAGAAAAAGGGGTGAAGGGCTTCCCTGGTGGCTCAGTGGTGACGAACCTGCCTACCAATGCAGGAGACACAGGTTCAATCCCTGATTTGGGAGGATCCCACATGCCACGAAGCAACTAAGCTTGTGCACCAAAACTATTGAGCGTATGCTCTAGAGCCGAGGAGCTGCAACTACTGAAGGTCAGTCACCCTAGAGCCCGTGCTCCACAAGAGAAGCCACTGCAATGAGAAGCCCACACTGGCCATGACTAGAGAAAAGCAGGCACAGCAATGAAGATTCAGCACAGCCAAACAAATAAATAAATAAAATTATATAAAAAAAGGAGTGGAGCCCTGACACTGGCTCCGTATGGATGGACCCTGAGAACACGATACTTAGTGAGAAGCAGACACAGAAGGACACACAGGGTGTGATTCCACTGATGGGAACTGGTCAGAACAGGTAGATCCACAGACACAGAGAGTGGGTTTCTGCTTGTCAGAGGCTGGGGAGGCGGGGAGAGCTAATAGGGATGGGCTTACTTTGGAGGTGATGGAATGTTCTGGAACCAAACAGATGATGGTTGCACAACCTCGTGAATGCACTGAATGTCACTGATTTATGAGCTTTCAAGTGGTACATGTTGTATGTTTCTCACCATAATTTAAAAACAACAGAGAAAGGCCAGTATCTAGTGCTGGGAGACCAGGGAGGTGGCAGGCACGGAGGCAGATCCTTTAGGTGGGGGCTGGTGGCAGGGCCATGTTGGCTGTCCTGGGAGGCTAGCACCATTGAAAGTAGATTAGCCCCTATGTTTATCAGTGAGAGACTGGAGTTTATCTGTGCTGATGGGAAAAGGAAGAGTCTCCTCCAGTGGTGTGGGGACCTCCTGGCTACTCTGTTTCTTCTTTCCCGAAACACTGGATCTTGCCCAATGAGGAGCTTCACTGGGCTCACCCTAACCCTGTGCCCTCTACCCCTCCAGCTGCAGTCCAAATATGACCCTCAGAAGGAGGCGGAACTCCGGAGCTGGATTGAGGGACTCACTGGCCTCTCCATTGGCCCAGACTTCCAGAAGGGTCTGAAGGATGGGATCATATTGTGCACGTGAGTGCGTGGGTCTACTGTGCTCATCACCATGACTGCTATGCATGATGAGGTCATGCTGTGTGTGACTTCTGCTTGCTTTTTCTTGATGAGTGTCTGGTTTTGCTCTTCTTTTTCCTGTGTTACTGCTTTGATCTCTAAAAGCATTCTCTTAGGAGAGCCTTAAGGTTTCTGGAGGCCTTTCTTTGCTGCCCCTAATTCAGCTGTGGTTCAAACATTCCATGGTTTGCACCTTAAAAATTTTCATGGAAATTCCCAGAATCACTGGATAGCTCAGTGATTCTGAATTGCATTCCCAGCACTGGTTGTTGTCATTCTTTGGCATCTTTGTTTCTTTGGTGGGTGGAGACTGGATTGTAATAGGGGAAACTCAGGCCCAGAGAGAGGGTGGCCAGGAAGCTGTGAATAAGTCTTGGGTCTCTGAGGTTCCCCTACACTAATGGAGATTCCCCTTTTCCCCCCACCCCATGTATCCTCCTCAGACTCATGAACAAACTGCAGCCAGGCTCAATCCCTAAGATCAACCGCTCCATGCAGAACTGGCACCAGGTGAGGCACCAGGGGGAGGGAGATGGAACCAGAATAGGGCTGGGGGACCCTATCTGACAGGTGGGGAGACCAAGGCCCCTCACCATCCTTCTCTTGCCTCTTCCCAGCTAGAAAACCTCTCCAACTTCATCAAGGCCATGGTGAGCTACGGCATGAATCCTGTCGACCTGTTCGAGGCTAACGACCTGTTTGAAAGTGGAAACTTGACTCAGGTGCAGGTGTCTCTTCTTGCCCTGGCTGGGAAGGTGAGGTTCAGAGAGGGTCAGCAACCTGCCCAAAGTCACACAGCAAGCCAGGCAGAGATTTTTCAGATGCTCTTCATTCATTCTTTTACAAAGATTTCTGAGCACTCATGAGGCGCCCAGCACTTTGGATTCAAGGGTGACCAAGGCAGACACAGTCCACCCCTTTATGCATAGGCAATGAATGAATTTTTTTTTAATTATTTTTTAAAAATTTATGTGTTAGAGCATTTTTAGGTTCACAACAAAACAGTGGAAAGTACAAAGACTTCCCATGGCCCCACTCCTGCACAGGCTCCCCCACTTCTCATGCAGTCAGTGACCCTCCATAGGCACCTTGCTACACCCAGAGTTCACATTAGCGTTTGCTCTTCAAATCATTGCTTTACAAATTATAAATTGCGAGAAGCCCCTTGAAAGAGAAGAAAGCATGATGCTGACATCTAGAGTAAAACTGAGACCAGGGCAGGCTGGAACAACATTTTAGGAGGAGGGAACAGCAAGCTTCTGCCATGGGGATGAAGCGGGGGGGTTGTGTCAGGTAAATTGTGTTTTGAACCTCCTGTGGCTGCTACGTGGGCAGTGAGGCTGGGAGACCAGTGAGGAGTAGGAGACAGGTGTGGGGGAGAGATGGTGGCTGGGGCTGGGTAGAAGGAGGTGATGAAAGGTGAGAGAGATGGGAGGTGAGGATGCCCCCCACAGTTCTTGGCCTGTGCAGCTGGAAGGGTGGGGATGCTGTTGCCTGGGAAAGGAAAGCCAGGGGTCAAGGAAAGTCGTTGAGTCCACAGTGCTGGGTGGATTGTACAAGGCCAGGTTGCAGCCGGAACACCGGGCCTCCTCTGGACTTGGATGCCTGGGACCTGGCTGCCCCAACCATGATACTCCCTCTCCACTTTCTCCCCAGGCCAAGACAAAGGGGTTACAGAGTGGTGTGGACATTGGCGTCAAATACTCGGAGAAGCAGGAGCGAAACTTTGATGATGCCACTATGAAGGCGGGCCAGTGCGTCATTGGGCTCCAGGTGGGCACCTGGCTGCTCCAGCGTCGGGGCACATGGGTGGTGGGCTTCCCGTGGCTCCTCAATTTCCGGGCAGGGTCTGGAGGCTTTGTGGGGGCAGCCTGACCTTTCCTGCCTCCCTGCAGATGGGCACCAACAAATGTGCCAGCCAGTCCGGCATGACAGCTTATGGTACCAGACGGCATCTGTATGACCCCAAAAACCATATCCTGCCCCCCATGGACCACTCGACCATCAGCCTCCAGATGGGCACAAACAAGTGTGCCAGCCAGGTGGGTTGCCCCAGTTTCCCCAGACTCCCTGCTCTGACTCTACCTCAGCTTGCTGTGTGTCCCCAGGGAAGTTACTACCCAGCTCTGTGCCTCAGTTTCCCTCAAAGTTGGATGCCCAGAGGCCCATCCAATATTTTTAGATCCTGCAGTCATCACTTCTCCTACTGTGTTGATGTATCAGTGTAATGATTTTGGAGCATTCAGGTCTGTGTCAGCCCTGAGCTCCAGCCCGGGGAGCTTCGACTCAACACAGAGTCAGAAAAGAGAGGGTTCTGAGCAGGGCTAGGAAGGATCTGTACAAAAGGAATGCCCACTGTGAGTGCACACATGGAGGCGGGAAAAGGTGTGTGGGAAGTTCTCTGGGGGTTCTGTTTCTCCTCTTCCCTCCCTGACGCCTCCTCTCTCTCTCCAGGTGGGCATGACGGCTCCAGGGACCCGGCGGCACATTTACGACACAAAGTTGGGGACAGACAAATGTGATAATTCCTCTATGTCCCTGCAGATGGGCTACACACAGGGTGCCAACCAGAGTGGTCAGGTGTTTGGCCTGGGCCGGCAGATATACGACCCCAAGTACTGCCCTCAAGGCCCAGTGGCCGATGGGGCTCCAGCAGCTGCTGGAGATGGCCCAGGCCCAGGGGAGCCCTCAGAGTGCCCTCCCTACTACCAGGAGGAGGCAGGCTACTGAGACACCCGTGCAGGCCATCTCCTCACATCATTGCCCCATCTGGGTTTTCGGGTCTTTCTGTGTTTTTTGTCTTGTTTTTCTACATGTCTGAATGCTGCCAGGTGAGACTCTGGGGGAAAGGGGTGAAGGCCATATCCAGATGCATGTGGGGTGGGGGTTCCCCTTCAGGGCAGCTCTAGGCATCAGGTTTCCCAGTAGACTTTGGGCCAAGCTGTTAGGGGGAAGAAGAAACCCAGGCAGGGAGGGGAACTGGCCCCAAGTAGTTTCCGGTTACGTCTTCCCTGCTTCTCTTTTTTCTGCCGATCAGTTTGTGGTTTCTGTACCCACAGAAGTTTCAGGCTGTTTTAATGAAATGAAAATACTTATTGTTCAGGGGAATGGTGGCGGGGGGGTGGGGGGGGGGCAATGCTGAGAGAAGGTCAGGCCACAGTCCCAAAATATTTTAGGCCTCATGGATTTCCCTAGGACTCTCAGACCACCAATCCTGGGCCCTCCCAGGGGCCCAGTGGGGACACTGAGGCCCAGGCAGGACAGTGGAGTTCTGAGTGCTTGAGATAAAGCCAGCCCCCACCCCCCACACTTGTCCCCACTCCCTCACCAAGTACTGCACAGGGACCCCTACCCAGAGGCCCCCACAGGGACCAGCCCCTGCCCAGGAGCCCTAGGACCAAGAAATAATGTGAAAATACCAACTGTGGACCAAAGTAAATAAAACCTCTTTTTGGAAATGAAGGTGTTGGAGCTGGTGTCCAAGACAACCTGGGGGTGGTGCCTGGCTTGGATTCCCTCTGGGGCCTCCAGGGTGGGGCAAAGGACAAATCTCTTGAGTAGGTCCTCAGGACTGCAGCTTCATCCAGCCTGCAGGCCTTAGTGCATTTACTCCTCACAGAGGAGTTCTCTCCTGACAAACTCCTCTTCATCCTCAAAGCCCCAACAGCAACAACCTCTCCTTTCTGGAGCCCTTCCCACACTTCTCACCCTTCCCAGCACCTTCAGAGCTGTGGATTCACATACTTGTTTCATTTTCATCATGATCTTGTGAAATATATCCAATTTCCTGGAGGGGGAAACTTCTGGAGGTTTTCTTCGAAATCGGGGTGACCATTATGACCCCAGATTCTAATCTTAGAATGTTGAGGGCCACCTCCCCCTTCTGCCAGTGAGCCTGGCCCACTGTAGGGATGTTTGTGGAAGGAATGAATGAATGAACAAATGATGATTCTAGTCAAACTCCCGTTTTCTGGATGGACAAATAGAATCCCAGGGTACCAGGGCGAGTTTGGTTAGGACTGGGGGCCCCCTCTGGCGAAAGTGGGGAGAAAGAGATCTCCTGAGACCCGGAGCTGCGGTATTGCAGGCGATTATGCAACGTGAGAAGACAGTGGCGATTTTGTGCCCAGGACAAGTTGATCCGGGCACCCCCTCCTCCTCGCGACGATGCAGCAAGAGCGATCACTTTAAGAAACCCGGCTCGGCGCCACCCGCTGTGACACCGCCTCCCGCGTTAGCGCGCGCGGCTCCGGCTGGCCAAGTCTTTGAGTGGCGCTCAAAGAAGCCAATGGGAGTGGATGGGGCGGAGCCATGCCCGGGATAAGCGGCCGTGGGCACCGGAAGCCAGGTACAATCCGCAGCTGGGGAGCCTCTCCGGGGGATAGGGCTCCTTGTAAAGGAGCCGCTCTCCCCGGCGGCTGTGGAGGGTAGGGAAGGTGGAGAGAGCTGGGGCTGGAATGGTGAGACGGTCCTGAGGAAGGTCCTGAGAAGATGCGGGGGGTGCAGATGGGTAGAAAGGAGGCAGATTCCGTGGGAATTAAAGGGTGTGGCCCGAATCCAGACTCTCACTCGTTTTCACTCACTGGCCCGGGAGTGTTGGAAGCTGCAGAATTGACCAATAATTCTCCAAGGGGAGGTTGGGCTGGCGACCTGAACTAGGAGTAGGCCTAAGTTTCGTTTTCCCCCGAAATGGTAAGATTCCCTACTGCCATCAGGCGCCAATCAACATACGCCCAGTAAGAAAAGGGGAACCTATCAGGGGAAAGCTGAAAAGCCCGTGAACGCCCAAGTTTGAAAAAAGCTGGCGAAAGTTTGGACCAATAAAATTGCTTTGCAAACATGTAACCAATTCTCTTAAACCAGCTACCAACTGCTTATGCTCACCCTATAAATTTGTGTAACAGCTTGGGCTTGGGGGGTCTCTGACCCTGCACCACTGCGTTGGATGCGGCAGGAGCCCTGACTTGAGTCAGCAATAAACTTCCCTTTTTGCGAGTTGCATTGTCTTGGAGGTTTTCTCTCTTCCCGCTCGGGGATTCAGACATCGGGCATAATATTTGGGGGCTCGTCCGGGATCCCTTGACCGGGGGAAGAGAACACTTCCAGGACAGAGGGGAAGGATAGATAATAGCACCGGTGCTCAGGCAGGACAAGAAGTCCAGTGTAAATCCAAGGCCCTGCTGTGAAGCAGGAAGGTATCTGGCACAGGAGAAAGCTTTCTATAGGGGGTCAGGCCAGCGGGCGTAAGACCGAGGCCAGCGGACGCGCTGGAAGGCAGCCGCCTCTGTGGGAAGGAGAGTTCCTCTCCTGATCCCGAGTCTAGTGAGCAGTGGACGCCATTCGGTAAGGTGAACCTAGTACCGGGGGGGCAAGAAAATTCAGGGGGCCCAAAAACCCAGCGCTGTGTTGTCGGCCGATGTCTGTCCGTGTGTTTGTCTTCGACTCTCCGTCTTTGTGTGTGTGCCGGCATTGTCTCTGGTCTCGTTCTCTTCTGGTGCATCGTTCTCTTCTCTCTCTTCTGACTTACTCTCCTCCTCTTCTTCTCTGATCTGCCCTCAACTCCTTTTCTTTTCAGGAGTTTCAGTGAACAGGCGAACGGTTGTGGGGACAACTGATGAGTCCCGGCCAGGGCTACACTCTGGCGGACTCTGAAGGCCCTACAATAAGTGAGCCTCAGTAACTAGAGCCCGACCGGGTGAAACTCTCCTTTAACATCTTTAACTGAGGACGTGGCCTAAAATTCTTCGTGTGGGCACAGGTCAGGCTTTAGGGCGCCTGCCACTTGAAGACTCCCGTGAGAGGATAAGGGGGTCACGGAACGGGCTAGAAACCCCTAGGGTGCCCGCCCCCAGCAAGAAAACTTCCGTGCAACGACGCAGGCACATAAACAGTTCCAAAAGCATACCATAAGCCCAACTTCTTGGCCACCACCACTCCTGGTAGGATTTTTTGGTGGTCATTCTCAGTGACTTTCTCTCTCTCTCTCTCTCTCTCTCTCTCTCTCTCTTCCCTACCATTTATTCTTTGACCATGGGTCAGAGAGAATCCACCCCACTTTCCCTCATCACTGACCATTTTTTGGATGTTAGGGCCAGGGCCCATAACTTGTCTTTGCTAGTCAAGAAAAGTAAATTAATAACCTTTTGCTCTGCAGAGTGGCCCGCCTTCCGGGTTGGATGGCCTCCAGAAGGCACCTTTCAACCGTCCATCATACAGGCTGTGAAGGAAGGAGATTATGGCTCCTGATCCCTGGGGCCATCTGGGTCACTTCCCCTATGTCATGGTTTGGCAGGATCTAGTGGAAAATCCACCTAAGTGGTTAAAACCTTTCATTCACAAACCTCCTAGTTCTTCTAATTCACAGGTCCTGGTGATGGAGACCCCCCCGGAGGAAACCAAAAAGAAAGAGGACCCAAAACTAGTCTTTCAGGAATCATCTTATCCAAACCTGATAGATCTAGAAATGGAGATGAGACCTCCGCCATATGTACCCCCCTTGCAATTACCTCCGAGGAGAGAAGCTCCGACGGGTGAACCAAGAGGACTAGGAGGGCCAACGGGAACCAACCGTGAGGGGGGACCAGCATTGGGGACCCGGGGGAGGACTAGGGGAGATAGGGGTGGCCAAGACCCTGGGGACCCAGAGTTACCTTCATCCACTGTTCAGACGCTCCCCGTCCGAGTGGGACCAGCTAACCTGGACGGAGAGCAAACCTATCAGTACTGGCCCTTTTCCACAAGTGACCTGTACAATTAGAAGACCCAAAACCCTCCTTTTTCAGAGAAACCCCAAGCCCTCATTGACCTCTTAGATTCCATTTTGTTCACTCACAACCCCACCTGGGATGATTGTCAACAGCTGTTGCAGGTGCTCTTCACAGAACGGGAGCGAATTCTGGCAGAGGCACAGAAACAGGTCCGGGGGGCCGACGGGAGGCCAACCGCCCAGCCTCATCTCGTGGAGGAGGGGTTTCCTCTGTTGTGGCCTAACTGGGATTTTGAGCGAGCGGAAGGTAGGGAGTGTCTCCGAGTATACCGCCAGACTCTGATGGCAGGCCTGCGGGCCGCAGCAAGAAAGCCGACAAATTTGGCGAAGGTAAATTTAGTAAGGCAAGAGCCCACTGAGAGCCCGGCAGCCTTCCTAGAGAGGCTGTTGGAAGCTTTCAGGCAATATACACCTATGGACCCCCAGGCTGAGGAGTCACGCGCTGCAGTTCTGTTAGCGTTTGTAAATCAGGCAGCCCCAGATATTAGGAGGAAATTACAAAAGATAGAGGGGTTGGGAAAACAGACAATACAAAACTTACTGAAATCAGCTGAAAAGGTATTTAATAATAGGGAGACCCCAGAAGAAAGGGAAGAACGACTTCGTCGGGAGAAAAGGGAACTAGCTGAGAAGATCAGGAAAGAAGATAAGGAACGTAGGGCGAAGGAAAACCGGAAGAACCAGAGAGAGCTAGCCCAGATTCTTTTTGCGGGGATGAAGGCCAGAACAGAATTGAGGGAGCCTCGAGACTCCCGGACGGGAGAAAAAGAGAGACCAAAAAGGCCCTAAAGAAAGATCAGTGTGCCTACTGCAAAGAACAGGGTCACTGGAAAAACGAGTGCCCTAAGAGGGACCCAAGGAGAGGAATGACCCAGACAGAGAGAATCTCCCCTGGAACTCGAGTTCTATATGCGGGGGAAGACAGTGACTAAGGGGGGTCAAGACTCGGCACCCCTCCCTGAGTCCTGGGTAACCATACATGTGGAGGGGAAACCCGTTGGCTTCATGGTAGATACTGGCGCCCAACACTCTGTTTTAAATCAAAAACTGGGACCAATGTCTAAGAAAACCAGCTTAGTGCAAGGAGCCACGGGGACAAAAAGATATTGTTGGACCACAGAACGAAAAGTAAATCTGGGGACCCACCAGGTGTCCCATTCGTTTTTGGTGATACCAGAATGCCCAGCCCCTCTACTTGGAAGAGACTTGTTGACTAAAGTTAATGCTCAGATCCATTTTGACCCTGGGGGAATGTCAGTCACGGATGGACTTGGACAACCGATACATGTCTTATCCCTAGCCTTAAGAGATGAGTACAGACTTTTTGCACCTAAGCCCTCAGAGACCATAGCACCAGATGTACAACTGTGGGTCCATAAATACCCATTGGCCTGGGCAGAAACGGCAAGAATGGGACCGGCCAAACAGAGACATCTGGTCATCATCGAGCTAAAGGCCGAGGCAATTCCTGTGAGGGTGAGACAGTACCCCATGAGCCAGGAAGCTCAGCGGGGGATCACTCCCCACATTCGACGTCTCATGGATACCGGAATTCTCAAGGGGTGCCAATCCCCTTGGAACACCCCCTTACTGCCGGTGAAGAAGCCAGGGGGGACAGATTACAGACCTGTCGAAGACCTTCGAGAAGTCAACAAATGGGTGAGTGACATACACCCCACTGTCCCTAACCCGTATACCCTCCTGAGCAGTTTGCTACCTGAGTACACTTGGTACACTGTGTTGGACTTGAAAGATGCCTTTTTCAGCCTACCCCTGGCGGCCCAGAGCCAGGAGATATTTGCCTTTGAGTGGACCAAGGGGGAAGGCCAACCGGTAGTACAATTAACTTGGACCCGCCTCCCACCGGGGTTCAAGAACTCCCCCACCTTGTTTAATGAGACTCCGAGTGAGGACCTCTACGAATATCGGGCTTGCCACCCAGAGGTCATTCTGCTACAATATGTAGATGACCTTATGTTGGCTGGAACCACAGAGGAGGCATGCAGCCGTGCCACCGGGGACCTCTTACAGACCCTAGGCACCTTGGGGTATCGCGCTAGCGCAAAGAAGGCGCAAATAGCTCAGCAAGAGGTCACCTATTTGGGGTATAAGATCAGGCAGGGGCAAAGGTGGCTAACCCAAGCCATGAAGGAAACAATATTGCAGATACCAGAGCCCAAGACCCCCCGCCAGGTGCGAGTTTCTGGGGACTGTTGGATATTGCAGACTGTGGATCATGGGGTTTGCTGAGAAGGCCCGGCCCTTGTATGAGGGAAGTAAAGAGACCCCAAACTGGACTTGGACTGAACCAATGAAACAGGCTTTCCAGACACTCAGACGGGCCCTACTAGAAGCCCCAGCCCTTGCCCTGCCTAACCCAGATAAGCCATTCCAGCTGTTGGTAGATGAAAAGCAAGGAATAGGAAAGGGGGTCTTGACGCAACAATGGGGACCATGGAAGCGGCCAGTGGCATACCTTTCGAAGCGATTGGACCCAGTGGCCGCTGGGTGGCCCCCTTGCCTTCGCATCGTCGCAGCCACTGCCCTCCTCGTCCGCGACGCCGACAAGTTGACGTATGGACAGCAACTCTTGGTTTACACCCCCCACGCCGTTGTAAGGGTTTTGAAGCAGCCGCCGGGTAAGTGGATCTCCAATGCCCGCTTGACACATTACCAGGCCTTGCTGCTTGATGCCCCACTTGTGCGTTTTCAGACCCCTTGCTTCCTGAATCCGGCTACGCTCCTACCTAACCCAGAAAAAGACCGCCCTCTTCATGACTGCAGTGAAATACTGGCTGAGGCCCTGGCGGAACGAAAAGACTTAACTGATATACCCCTAGACAACAGTGAGCTAGTATGGTTCACCGATGGGAGCAGCTATGTAAAAGATGGGCAAAGGAAGGCGGGAGCCGCCATAATTGATGATTCAGGACAGACGATATGGGCTGAGACACTTCCCACAAACACTTCTGCGCAAAAAGCAGAATTGATTGCCCTAATACAGGCTCTGGAGCAAGCCAAAGGGAAGAGAGTCACCATTTTTACTGACAGCCGATATGCTTTCAGCACTGCCCATATTCAAGGTCCAATATACCAAGAAAGGGGATTTCGGACAGCTGAGGGAAAAGAAGTCAAAAATCTGCCCGAGATTCGCAGGCTCCTGGAAGCTGTCCAACTGCCCCGGGCAGCAGCAATGGTACATGTCCCCGGTCACCAGAAAGGAGAAGACCCTAAGGCGCGGGGCAATCGTGCCGCTGATGCGGCCGCTCGAGAAGCGGCTAGCCGGGACTATGCCGCCCCCATATTAGCCGTGGGACTCCCACCTCCTGGTATGGGGACCTTGCCACCAGTTCCCGAATATTCCCTCTCTGATCTCGCCTGGATCAACGAGGACACCACCCTCCAGAAGGATGACCAAGATGGATGGTACTGAGATCAAAACAACCTGATATTGCCTGCCATCCTGGGTCGTCACCTGTGTGAACACCTACACACAACTACACACTTGGGAGAGAAAAAGACCCTAACACTTCTCCAGACTGCCTGCCTGAGGTTCCCTCGACAAAATGCAACTGTACAAGAGATAATTCAGGCTTGCAAAGCGTGCCAGCTAATGAGAGCAGGGAAGAAGCAGCACACAGGAACGAGGTACCGAGGGGAAGAGCCAGGGCAACACTGGGAGATAGATTTCACTGAGGTAAAGCCAGGCAAGTACGGGTATCGCTGTCTGTTGGTTCTGGTAGATACCTTCTCGGGGTGGGTGGAAGCCTTCCCTGCAAAGGGAGAGACAGCAGTAGTGGTTGCTAAAAAGATCTTAGAGGAGATAGTGCCTAGGTACGGGCTGCCAGTGACTATGGGCTCTGATAACGGACCTGCCTTTGTGAGCCAGATTGTACAAGGGCTGGCCCAAGCTCTGGGGACAAAATGGAAGTTACATTGTGAATATACTCCCCAGAGCTCATGACAGGTTGAGAAAATGAATCGGACCCTAAAAGAAACTTTGACAAAGTTGGCAATAGAGACTGGCGGGGACTGGGTGACCCTCCTTCTCTTTGCACTCTTTCGGGCGTGTAACATCCCTTATAAGCTGAATCTTACCCCTTTTGAGATTCTGTATGGAAGACCCCCTCCTGTGTGTCCTATTTTTGAAGGAAAATGCCTGCCACCCCCTACTTTGGGACAATTCCAGCAAACTCTGATGGCATTAAGTAAGGTGCATAACCACGTTTGAAAATTGATTCTAGAGATACACGAGGGTCAAAATAAGGGGTCATCCCCTCACATAATATTGGCCCAGGGGATTGGGTTTGGGTAAAACGGCACCAATCTAAAGTATTAGAACCTAGATGGAAAGGCCCTTATGTTGTTCTCCTTACCACTCCTACCGCTGTCAAGGTCGATGGGATTGGACCCTGGGTTCACTGCAGTCACGTGCGGCAAGCCACACCGGAAGAACAGGAAAAAGCGTGAGCAGAATGAAAGGCGAGTCCTCACCCGTCAAATCCTTTAAACTAAAACTCGCCCGCCAGGAGGCCTCCTAATTCTCCTGCTGATGGCAGCTGTCATCGACCCAGGAGCGACCAGTCACAACCCCCATCAACCTGCTAAGATCACCTGGAAACTCAACAACGGGTAGACTTATGAGCTGCTCAATGAGACCTCAGGAATCCACCTTCCTAACACCTGGTGGCCAGATCTATATTTTAATCTCAGGAGACTTTGGTACTGGGGCAGGGTGGTATGGGGGGCAAGAACACAACTACCATGTGTTACAGAAACGGGCGCTTATTAATACAGACCAGGGATGGTCAGCAGAGGGGTTCTGGGCTTGCCCGGGCAACATAAGAAATAATTGGAAAACCTGTGGTGGCTTGGAAAGCTATTTTTGCAGAGCTTGGAGCTGTGTGACCTCTTGTGACGGACCCCAAAAGTGGGACGTAGGAAATCGGGATTTGGTCAAGTTTACCTTCCGAGACCCCGAAAACCAGGTACCTCAGGTACGAGTGCAGTTTAACCAGGAAAGGGCGAAGAAAGAAAACAGGTGGACCTCTGGATTGACTTGGGGATTTCAGCTTCATGTAAATTGGCCTGGTCCCTATCCGGGTGGGTTATTAATCATAAAACAGGTTGTTGAGCCGGTGCAGGTACATAGTTTGGGTCCCAATCTGGTCAAAACATCACAGGGGCACAAGGCGACCCCCAAGCCAACCACCTCCAGACCAAGCTCGCCAAGGACATCTAACATCTCCTCTACCCCGAGCCTCGGAGGCAACCTGATGGAAACCCCTGGCCCTCTGACTGTTATCACTAGGTCAGCAATTCAGGACCCCCTATGGGCCTTAGTGAATGCAGCCTTTACAGACTTAAACTATACCAACCCTAATGCGACCCAATCCTGCTGGCTTTGTTATAATCTTCATCCCCCCTTCTGTGAGGCCATAGGTCTCAATGTCTCTTACAACTTGTCTTCAGGCCAGAACCCACCCCAATGCCGATGGGAAGAACGCAAGGTTGGCCTCACAATGAATGAGGTTTGGGGACAGGGACTCTGTTTGGGCACAGTGCCACATGATAAAACTCCCCTTTGTGCCCAGACTATTAGTGACCTACGCTTACATGGCAAAAATTGGATTGTGCCAGAGGTTGGGGGTTGGATTTGTTCACATACTGGGCTAACCCCATGTTTAAATGTGAAGGTTTTTAACCAAAGTCAAGAATTCTGTGTCCTGGTTGCTGTAACGCCAAAAATCTTATACCACTCTGAAGAGGTTATGTACTCACTTTGGGACGGGGAAATGCTAAGACAAAAGAGAGAGCCAATCAGTGCGATCACCATGGCAACCTTGTTCAGTCTTAGGCTGGCAGGAGCAGGGACAGAAATAGCTTCACTATCTCTGCAAGGCCAAGGGTTTTCCTCCCTATGAGCCTCTATAGATGAAGACATAACTCGCATAGAAGAATCAATCAGCCACTTGGAGAAGTCTCTGACTTCCTTGTCTGAGGTGGTCTTGCAGAATAGGAGAGGATTAGACTTGATTTTTCCCCAACAGGGGTGGGGTCTGCGCGGCTCTGGGAGAAGAATGTTGTTTCTATGCAAACCATACAGGAGTGGTAAGAGAATCTATGGCAAAAGTGAGAGAGGGACTGGCGCAACGCAAGAGGGAACGGGAGGCCCAGCAGGGGTGGTTTGAGTCTTGGTTTCAACGCTCCCCCTGGCTGACCACCTTAGTTTCCACCCTCCTGGGCCCACTTATAGTGCTACTATTAAAACTCACGTTTGGCCCTTGTATTTTAAACCGGCTAGTGTCATTTATTAAAGAACGTCTAAACACCATTCAGATTATGGCATTGAGGCAACAATATCAGCCAGTGGCCCCAGGATGGTGAAGAGAAAGATTCCTCTACAGGGACAACAAGACAGGGGGGAATGTGAGACTGACAGGACTAGCGCCATGACAGGCGACCCAGACTAGGAGTAGGCCTAAGTTTCGGTTTCCCCCGAAATGGTAAGATTCCCTACCCCCATCAGGCTCCAATCAACATGCGCCCAGTAAGAAAAAGGGAACCTATCAGGGGAAAGCTGAAAAGCCCGCGAACGCCCAAGTTTGAAAAAAGCCGGCGAAAGTTTGGACCAATAAAACTGCTTTGCAAACATGTAACCAATTCGCTTAAGCCAGCTACCAACTGCTTATGCAGTTGTAATTTGTGTAACAGCTTGGGCTCAGGGGTCTCTGACCCTGCACCACTGCGCTGGATGCGGCAGGAGCCCTGACTCAAGTCAGCAATAAATTTCCCTTTTTGCCAGTTGCATTGTCTTGGAGTCTTTCTCTCTTCCCGCTCGGGGATTCGGACATCGGGCATAACAGGGCAATAGACTCACCTACCTGCAGCCGCCCTCCCAGTTGATAGGCCACTAAGCTCTCTCCCCCATTTTACCAATAGAGAAACTGAGGCCGCTCCCCGCCCCCCGATCCCATTTATAAATGAGTCCTGAAGTGAGGGTCAGGGGTCCTGGGTCCATTCCCTGTCCTTCTGGCGGCCTCAGTTTCTCTGTGTGTACGATGATGAAGTAGGCCAGGCTGGATTCCAAGCAAGGGACATGATCAATAATAGCTGCTTCTAGAAGCGCCCCTGCTTCTTACTCATTTTCTGGATCTTGGGGTTCTTCTGAGTGACGAACAGTACGTGAGGGGTGGGTAGAGCTGGAGCCCCCTATCAGCTGGGTGACTCGCCTCTCTGGTGGCCTGGGATAGCCCTTCTTTCAGACAGCAGTATAAAATACTCCTAGCTATCATTGTTGGAGGAGAGCGGAGGGAAAGGGAATCCTTGCCTGGGTTAAGGATGAGGCTGGGGGACGGGACCTGGAAGCTCCCCCAGGAGGGCTTAGGGTGGAGCCTGGTAATGAAAGAGTTAAGCCTAGGCTCCGCCCCCTGCAGGACAAATTCTCCGCCTTGGGGACGCCAGCTGCTGCTTTGGAGGAAGCGACAGATCCCGCGCAACCAATCAGATGTGAGGAAGGATTCAGGCAGGTCTCCCATTGGCTTACTCCACCCCTCCGGAGAATAGAGCCCCTTGAATAAGCACCTACAGTTTTCTTGGCTCAAAGCAGAGCTTCCGAGAATGCTGAGCAATGAAATAGATGATGAAGTTCAGAGAGGGGCAGGGAGTTGCCCGCAACCACACAGTACGTCCTCAGCTTGACCCCTCCGTTCTGTCTGCTCTCCATTTCCACCATGGCCTTCTGGACACAGCTGATGCTGCTGCTTTGGAAGAATTTCCTGTATCGCAAGAGGCAGCCGGTAATGTCCGGTTGGGTGGGCCGGGGATGGGGCGGCCCACGGCCCTCCATAGGCCGCCACTCCCCAAGCCTATTCTGCCCCCGCAGATCCAACTCTTGGTGGAGTTGTTGTGGCCGCTCTTTCTCTTCTTCATCCTGGTGGCCGTTCGCCATTCCCATCCCCCACTCGAGCAGCATGAATGTAAGACCCCCAGCGTCCAGAACTTTGGGGTTAGGATTAACAGTGGTCACTCTATGCACAGGGGCCCCAGTGAGAACCCAGAGCACAGACCGGACGCTCGAATAATAGCTGAGAGGGGCACTCTGTCACCGGGGGTGGGAACTCAGCCAAGAACCCCACACCTGGTGTCCCTGCAGGTCATTTTCCCAACAAGCCGCTGCCCTCAGCGGGCACTATCCCTTGGCTCCAGGGCCTCATCTGCAACGTGAACAACACCTGCTTCCCGTGGCAAACCCCCGGCGAGGAGCCTGGCATCCTCAGCAACTTCAAGGACTCCCTGTAAACCAGTGGGAGCTGCTGGGCAGGGGTGGGCAGCTTCGCCTAGCCTCCGCCTCCAGCTTTCTCTCTGTATCCAGGGTTTCCCGGCTCTTGGCAGATGCTCGCACTGTCCTGGGGGGCCCCAGTGCCCATAGGATGCTGGCTAGCCTGAGAAAACTGATGCCCATTCTGAAGGCTGCACGCACAGCCCGAGCAAGTGAGAAGGCGGGACTGTGGCAGGTGGGGCTGGGCTCTGCGCCTCCACCTGATGACGCAGCTTGGAGTGGGACAAGTGGGACATGGCTCCAGCTAACCTTGGCCTCACCCTGGGCTTCTGTGCTTTACTCCCTCGGCCTTTCCTTGGCCCAGTGACCAGCCCAAGGAGGGGTTATCCCTGGCCACTCAGCTGCTGGGGACACTGCTGCAAGGGGTGAGGTGGGGAGAGGACAAGATCTGGGACCCTGATCTCACTGAATCCCACCCTGCCCCTTTCGGGTGCCAGCTTCCAGGCCTTTGACTGGGCCTTCCCTGATACCTGGAGTGATATTCCTTAGACTTTAGTCCTGAGACCTTGAACAAGCTCAGGTGCCTCTCAGAGCCTTACTTTCTCTGTAAAATGAGGCTATGATAGCATGGACCCCCTGGGAACTTGGATCCCGAGTGAGACGACCGCAAACCTCATTGTCACCTTGTCATCTTTCTCCCCAGGAATCTCTGGGTTCTGTGCTGGGCCAGGCCCAGGAGTCCGTGGGCAGCCTTGTGGAGACTGCAGAGGACATGGCCCAGGAGGTAAGAGGCCAGTGCAGTCTCCGCCCCTGCCAGGAAACTAGAGGGGTGGGCTGCAGAAAGGGGAGAGGACAGAGCAACCCTGGGCACCTGTCCTCAGTAGTTGTGTGGGAGTGCTGGGGCAGAAAGAGAGGGCAAGGGTGCTCCTGGTGGAGGGCCCTGCCCTGGTTATAGCTTGGTGGTGGGGTCACGCAGAGGGAAGCCTGCCCAGCCCTCTGGTGACCCCCTCCTCCAGCTCCTGGAGCTGCCCAGCCTGGGGGAGCTGTGGGCCCTGCTACAGAGACCCCACAGGCCAGGTGGTCCCCTGGAGGCGGTGGCAGAAGCCCTTTGCAGTGCCAGGGGGCCCAGCAAACCAGGTGGGCCCTCCCTCAACTGGTATGAGGCCAGTGACCTGAAGGAGCTGGTGGGGCAGGAGCCAGTGCAGGCCCTGCGGGACAACAGCCTGAGTGAGTGACCAACTTGGTTTCCACCCCTCTCCCTGGGGAAGCGGGGCCAGAACGTGGGGACAGGGCCTCATGGTGCCCCCACCCTGGTCCTAGGCCCCACCTGCGCTGAGCTGACGGGGGCCCTGGACACCCACCCCCTATCCCGCCTGCTGTGGAGGCGCCTGAAGCCACTGGTCCTGGGGAAAGTACTGTTCACGCCTGACACACCCTTCACCCGGCAGATCATGGCCCAGGTGACAGTGCGAGGGGCCCTCAGTCCCAGCCTCAGCCGAGGGGGAGAGCCAGGCCACAGGAGAGCCCTGAGTCCCAAGACTGGCTGCCCCTGGGCTGGGTCCAGGAAGCAGGGTTTGAAGTGGAGGGATTGCCAGATTTCAGACAGTGCTCAGAGGTGCAAGATGGAGCAGAGGGGAGAAGGCAAGAGGGGTGGGCAGGGGGCTTCACTGGAGGGAAGGGTCATAAATGGCTGAGCCTGGTGTGGACCTCAGCACCCACCTCTTGCAGGTCAATCGAACTTTCCAGGAGCTGGCGCTGTTGAAGGACATCCAGGAGGTGTGGGGGCTGCTGGGACCCCAGCTCTTTAACTTCCTGAACGATAGTGCCAATATCGCCATGCTGCAGGTGGGGCCAGGACGGGAGTGGGAGAGGGGTATTTGGGGTGGGGGTATGTGGCAGCAGGGTCACCCCTGCTAAGGATTTGGGCGAAAGGGCAGGAACTTCCAGGCGAGGGTGTGGAGGTGGGGAGTGGTTTCCAAGGTGAGCTCAGGCCGCTCACTGGGATGGGAAGAGGTGACAGGCCCTGAACGTCCGATGCAGACCCCCACCTTCCCTGACACCCCTACAGAGGCTCCTGCAGATCCAGGACAAGGGAAGGAGGCAGCCAAGACCCGGAGGTGGGGCCAGAGTGGAAGCTCTTCATGCCTTTCTGAATCCCCGCAGCGGTGGCTACAGCTGGCAGAAGGCCCACGCTGATGTGGGACACCTGGCGGTCACACTGGGCCGTGTGATGGAGGTGAGGGACCGTCCACCTGGGGAAACGTCTCCGAGTGGAGAGGCAGCCCTGCTGAGGGCCTCCTGGGAGGAAGCGCGGCTCCGCCTTCAGGTCCAGGGGAGGAGCCTGGGGCCTCGAACTCACGCCCAGGCCCCTCCGCAGTGCGTGACTCTGGACAAGCTGGAGGCCGCCCCTTCAGAGGCTGCCCTGGTGGAGCGGGCCCTGAAGCTGCTCTCCGAGCACCGTTTCTGGGCCGGCATCGTTTTTCTGGGGCCCGAGGACTCCCCGGACCCCGCTCAGTCCCCAGGCCCTGGCCACGTGCGCATCAAGATCCGCATGGATATCGATGATGTCACAAGAACCAATAAGATCAAGGACAGGTGGGGGGGGCTTGTGGGGCGGAACCAGAGGGGGGTGCTAGAGAGCATCCCACCTCTCAGAGATCTTGGTGGATGGGGCCCAAATCCTTAGACCAATAGGGATCCGTGATGGGCGGGGTTTATGGTGTGATGGGCACAGCCAAGGACTTGGTGGGCGGGGTCAATGCCTTGGTTTCTGGGATAAGATTAAAGCAATTGGCAGGTGGATCTAGATAGTTTGTACACAGATGAGGGCGGAGCTAAAGTTGTGCTGGGCAGGTTCCAGCTACTCCCATACTGCTTTCAGGTTTTGGGACCCCGGTCCGGCCGCTGACCCCCTGACGGACCTGCGCTACGTGTGGGGTGGCTTCGTGTACCTGCAGGACCTGCTGGAGCGCGCAGCTGTGCGCGTGCTCACAGGGACCACCCCCCATGCCGGCCTCTACCTCCAGCAGATGCCCTACCCCTGCTACGTGGACGATGCGTGAGCACCCTTTCCTCACTTCTCTCAGATGCCAGATCCCGGGTCTCAGGGTGGGGGCCTGGGTGCCATCTGGAATATTCACGAAGTCAAGGCTGAGAACTACAGTTCAGAAGGACCACTCCCCGTGACCTTGTAGCTGGAGGAGCCGGGATCCCTCAGGGTCTGGGGTCCCTGGATACAGGGAGAACGTAATCTGACAGCACCATCAGGAGTCCGAGGACAAGGCAGGGCGAATGTCCTCGGCGCACCTTGGGGTCCCAGGGCGGGAACTGTCGTGCCAGATGGGGGCAGCGCAGGGGTGTCGCGTCCACCGCAGCTGCCCACTGCCCCAGGTTCCTGCGCTTGCTGAGCCGGTCACTGCCACTCTTCCTGACACTGGCTTGGATCTACTCGGTGGCGTTGACGGTGAAGGCCGTGGTGCGTGAGAAGGAGACTCGGCTGCGCTACACGATGCGCGCCATGGGGCTCAGCGCCACTGCACTGTGGCTGGGCTGGTTCCTCAGCTGCCTTGGGCCCTTCCTCCTCAGCACCGCGCTGCTTGTGCTGGTGCTCAAGGTGCGTGCACCCCCCGCCTTGCCTACTCGGGATGGGTGCGTGTGTACGGGGAGGTAACGGGCAGGAGGCGCCTCGCGGGGTTGCGTGTCCCTGGGCGAATCCGCGAGCTCCCTCCAGCTCCCCTGTCCTCCTGCAGCTTGGGGACATCCTCCCCTACAGCCACCCGGGGGTGCTGTTCCTGTTCTTGGCGGCTTTCGCTGTGGCCACGGTGGTCCAGAGTTTCTTGCTGAGCGCATTCTTCTCCCGCGCGAACTTGGCAGCCGCCTGTGGGGGTCTTGCCTATTTCGTACTCTATCTGCCCTACGTGCTGTGCGTGGCCTGGAGGGACCAGCTGCCCATGGGCGGCCGCGTGGCCGCGGTGAGAGCCGGGCCGTGTGGGTGCAGGGGTGCAGGGCACCCTCAGCTGCACTTGTTTGCTGACCTACCCACTTACCTACCCGCCCCCACCCATAGAGCCTTCTGTCGCCCGTGGCCTTCGGTTTTGGCTGCGAGAGCCTGGCGCTGCTGGAGGAGCAGGGCGAGGGTGCGCAGTGGCACAACATGGGCACCGGGCCTACAGCAGATGTCTTCAGCTTGGCCCAGGTCTCTGGCCTTCTGCTGCTCGATGCCGCTCTCTATGGCCTCGCAACTTGGTACCTGGAGACGGTGTGCCCAGGTGGGCCGTAGGAGGCGCAGGGGAGACTGGGCTGAGGGCGGGCGCGGGATGGGGTGGGGCTGAGGGGGCTTGGAGTACAGGTGAAAGGGTGGGTCTTCCTGGCACCTGCGCACATGCGCGCTGGTGGCTGCGTTTGAGGGAAGGCCTGGGGCAGGCGGGTGGGCGGGGCTTCCTGGTTACCACTTACCTGGATCCCCGCATCCCCAGTGGGCTCCAGGGGGAGCGCCTCAGGGGTAACTGAGCACCACTCCCCACAGGCGAGTATGGGATTCCCGAACCGTGGAACTTTCCCTTTCGGAGGAGCTACTGGTTTGGGTCTCAGACCCCCAAGGGTCCTGCCCCAGTCCTGGCTGTGCAGGACCCCAAGGGTAAGGCCCAACAAACAGCTGTCACTTCCCTGTCTGGATTCTCAGCCCCCACAAAACCCAGGTCCCCATGGATTCCAATCCTCTGCATATTCCCAGGTCCTGAGGCTCCCCTAACTCCCACAGACCCCAGCCCCATAAGTCCCTGACTCCACAGACCAGCTTGAATGGTCCCCAGGCTTCTGAGGGTGCCCAAAACTGAGGCTGCCCTCCTTCCTCAGTGCTGGTGGAGGAGGCCCCCCCTGGCCTGATTCCAGGGGTCTCCATACGCGGCCTGGAAAAGCGCTTTCCTGGCAACCCGCAGCCAGCGCTGTGCGGACTCAGCCTGGACTTCTACCAGGGCCACATCACCGCCTTCCTGGGCCACAATGGGGCTGGCAAAACGACCACAATGTGAGCAGCCATCACTCCTCTCCCCCCACAGCTCCCCTCCCCCCCAGCTCCTCTTCTTGGGTCTCAACTTGCACACTTGTTCAAGCGGAAGGACATCTGGGGTCAGAAGGTCCCTATTTGTACAGTGAGGGGGGACCCTGATGCCCCCTCAGCAGCCCCCCAGCCCCAGTTCCCTTTGGACCTCCCCCTTAGTTCACTTTGGATCCACAATAGGCAGGTGATGAATATTTTCTCTGAGCTTCGTCTTCCCTCCCCTGTAAAATGGGAACATAATACCCCTTTGGTCTGGGCATACAGTAGGTGCCCTATAAGTGCTGGGAGCCTCAGCTTCCCCTCTGAAGCTGCCCTGAGACCCCTGCTCCTGCAGGTCCATCCTGAGTGGCCTCTTTCCACCCACGGCTGGCTCCGCCTCTGTCCTGGGCCACGACGTCCGGACCAGCATGGCAGCCATCCGGCCCTGCCTGGGTGTCTGCCCGCAGTACAACATACTGTTTGACCTGTGCGTCTCCATGGGCCTGGGGCATGGCAGTGGGAGTGCTGGGTGCTCTCTGTGGCCTTGCCTGCCATGGTAACCCCCCCACTGTCTTTTGTACATGGCCTCAGGCTGACTGTGGATGAGCACGTCTGGTTCTATGGGCGGTTGAAGGGTCTGAGCGCAGCTGCCATGGGTCCCGAGCAGGACCGGCTGCTGCAGGACATGGGGCTGATCCCCAAGAGGCATGCACAGACTCATCACCTGTCAGGTGAGCCCGGACTGGGGGGAGCCTCCAGGTCTGCAGAGATGAGGCTGGGGAGCTGGTGCTGGGACTTTATATTGAGGACTGTGGGATGCCAGAGGAGATGGGCAGACCTGGGGACCCAGGAGGAATCAGGCACTGTGGTCCAAGTGGGTAGGGAAAGGTGCAGGGAGAAGGACGGCAGCCCTGCCCAAGACTGTGGAGATCTTGACCCCTGTCCCAACCCAGGTGGGATGCAGCGGAAGCTCTCAGTAGCCATTGCCTTTGTGGGTGGCTCCAAAGTTGTTATCCTGGATGAGCCCACAGCTGGTGTAGACCCCACTTCCCGTCGAGGCATCTGGGAGCTGCTGCTCAAATATCGGGAAGGTAAGAACTGAAAGTGACCTGAGATTTCCCTGGATGCTGCTTGAGAGGCCAGAAGATCTTTCTGACAAAGAGGTGATGGAAGATGGAGGTTTTTTTTTTTTTTTTTGAATATAAATTTTATTTATTTATTTTTTTAATTAATTAATTTATTTATTTTTTTTCACAACCATAGTGTATCTTTTTTTTTTTTTACATGTATTCCCCATCCCGGTCCCCCCTCCCACCTCCCTCTCCACCCAATCCCTCTGGGTCTTCCCAGTGCACCAGGCCCGAGCACTTGTCTCATGCGCCCAACCTGGGCTGGTGAACTGTTTCACCCTAGATAATATACGTGTTTCAATGCTGTTCTCTTGAAACATCCCACCCTCGCCTTCTCCCAGAGTTCACAAGTCTGTTCTATACATAGGAGTCTCTTTTTCTGTTTTGCACATAGAGTTATCGTTACCAGGAAGATGGAGTTTTGAGGGATAAGTAGGAGTTTACTGCACGAGGCAGGGGCCACAGCTTGGGCAGCCTGATAACATGTGTGGGTTGGGTACCCTGCCTAGGTCGCACACTGATCCTCTCCACCCACCACCTGGATGAGGCGGAGCTGCTGGGAGACAGGGTGGCGATAGTGGCAGGGGGCCGCCTGTGCTGCTGTGGCTCTCCTCTCTTCCTGCGGCGTCACTTGGGCTCCGGTTACTACTTGACATTGGCCAAGGGTCCCCCACCCCTGGCCACCAGCAAAAAGGTGAGGGCTGGAACAGACCTCCGACCCCAGTTCTTAAGACTCCATCCAGCCCCGATGGCCATGGCAGCTGGTGCCCCTCTGCCCCCAGGGTGAAACTGGCTTGAAGAACAGCATGGATGCTGGGCAGAAAAGGGAGCCAGGAGGCCAGGCCAGCTCTGCCGGTGAGGGCGGGTGTGGGAAAGCCTGAGTGAGGGGCTGTGGATCGGGCTGTGAGAGCCAGAGGGAGGGGCCAGTGGGGGGCAGTGACTTGGTTCAGGGCAACAGGCCTGATAACCCCAAGCTTGACCCCTGACCTGACCCCTGAGTTGAGCTGACACACAAACCTACCTCTGACCCTGACCCCAGGTCAAGTCCTGCCCTTGGGTGCTTAATCCTGACTTCCTTTGCCCTCAGGGACTGATCCCTTGTGGGTCACCCAAGCCCCTTCCCCAAGGGGGTGGGGCAGGAGCCAGGGCAACATGGGACCCCAGGGCCCCTGACGTGCCTGCTGCCCACCCAGGTGCAGCCCAGCTGTGGGCCATAGTGCAGCGCCAAGTGCCCGGCACACGACTGGTCAAGGATCTGCCACATGAACTGGTGCTGGCATTGCCCTACAAGGGCGCCCTGGATGGCAGCTTCGCTGAGCTCTTCCATGATCTGGACCAGCGGCTGGGGGAGCTGGGACTGGCTGGCTATGGGATCTCCGACACCAGCCTGGAGGAGGTGTGGCTGCTGGATGAGGTGGGGGGCAGGAGGAGGGCTTCCTGGAGGAGGTGGTGCCTGGAAGGATGAAGAAGTCTGCCTGTGGACAGCTGGGCATCCCAGGGAGGAGACAGGGGCCACACGGAGGCTTGGAGGCCCTCAGGGAGGCTTGGGGACCCCCAGTGTTTGAGGGATATGTGGCCCTTGAGTCCCCCTCCCTTTTGTGTGTCCCCAGGCTCTGTCTGAGCCCCCTGCTTTGTCTTCCCAGATCTTCCTGAAGGTGGTGGAAGATTGTGCTGTGGACACAGGCCCAGAGGGTATGCCTGCAGGCCCCTGTCCTGACCCCTCACCCCGGTCCAGAGTCCGACCTGACTTTAGACCAAGTCCCCACTCTTGGCTAACATGGCCCAACCTACAGCCCTGACCTCCACCCTGATTCCTGACCCCTTTTTTGTGAGCCTTGACACTGGCCCAGACCCCAGGCCAAACACTAAGCCTGACCCCAACTCTGGTGACTCTGCAGATGGTAGGCCCAGGCAAGGTTCATGCTTGGGTATTTCTCATCCCGACGCGACTAGGCAGCTCCAAGTTCCTCCAGAGGAGACAGCCCTGGAGAATGGGGGGCTGGGTGAGTTGTCCCTGCCCCACCCTGTGGCCCCTCCTGGTCCCCAGGGCCAAGCACTGACCCTCCCATCCCCCACAGCTGGCTCTGCCCCTGAGACACAGGCACTACAGGGCTCTGGGCCGGCCACCGCAGGCCGCGTACACAGCTGGGCGCTCACATGTCAGCAGCTCCGGGCCTTACTTCTCAAGCGTTTCCTGCTTGCCCGCCGCAGCCGCCGTGGCCTGTTTGCCCAGGTGAGGGGCCACCTACTGGGGAGGGGGGGGGAGCCCCTCGGCATCTGTTTTCCACTCTACAACCTAATTCAGCCCCATAAGCCCAGGTGTATGCCTCACTCTGAACATGTTTATTAAGAGCACTGGGGAGCCATGGATGGTTCTAGAGCAGGATCAGGGAAGGGTGCAGGTGAGCCTGGCGGCTGACAGGCGGGGAGCTGATGGGCTGGCCCTTCAGATTGTGCTGCCTGCCCTCTTTGTGGGCCTGGCACTGGTGTTCAGCCTCATTGCACCCCCGTTTGGATACTACCCGGCTCTGCGGCTGAGCCCCAGCATGTACGGCTCCCAGGTGTCCTTCTTCAGGTGGGTGCAGAGGAGAGGGGCCTGGTGGGGGGGTGCCCAGGGCCTGTGGGCACAGCCCTGACCCTGCACCCACTACACACAGCGATGACACTCCAGGGGACCCTGAACACTCCCGCCTGGTCGAGGCCCTGCTGGAGGAGGCCGGACTGGAGGAGGCTTACCCGAAAAGTAACTCCAGCAGGTGAGGGCCCTCCAGTCTGGGCCTGGCTCCTCTCTGGCCTCGGTTTCCTTGTCTGGGCTCTGGAGCATCCCCCATGCCTGGTTGGGAGCAGGGCGCCTCCAGTCCCACCCCCACCCTGCTCCTACCCCCACAGGGCACCAGCATGCACACGGCCTGCCCTCTGCCACTTCTCGGTGCCTGAGGTCCCTGCAGACGTGGCTGAGGTCTTGGCCAGTGGCAACTGGACCCTGGAGTCTCCATCCCCCGCCTGCCAGTGCAGCCAGCCTGGTGCCCACCGCCTGCTGCCTGACTGCCCTGCTGCAGCTGGTGGCCCCCCGCCACCCCAGGCACCAACCAGCTCTGGTGAAGTGGTCCAGAACCTAACGGGCCGGAACCTGTCTGACTTCCTGGTCAAGACCTACCCGCGCCTGGTGCGCCAAGGGTGAGCACCACCCTGGATTTGACTTGGCCAGCTGTAGCAGCGGTCCAGTGGGGAGGACGTGGTCCAGTCTTGGGAGGGGTTGGGGGCGATGCCCAGGCTGGGGCTCTGGGCTGGGGCATCCTGGGGGCCCTCTGTGCCTCCCCCTTTTTATTTGTTTCACTCAACTCCCAAGTATCTTTGTCTCTGTCCCACTCACCTCTCTGTCTGTGTCTGTCTCACAGCCTGAAGACCAAGAAATGGGTGAACGAGGTCAGGTGAGGAGGGTCCCTTGCATGGGTTCCTTTCCTGTGCCCTCTGCCTGCCTGCTGCCCCATCCTCCCGACCCTCAGCTGTCTCCCACCTCCGCTGCCCCTCAGGTATGGGGGCTTCTCCCTTGGGGGCCGAGACCCAGGCCTGCCCTCGGGCTTGGAGGTGGGCCGCTCTGTGGAGGAGCTGCGGGCACTGCTGAACCCCACACCAGGCGAGGCCCTCGACTACCTCCTGAATAACCTCACAGCATGGGCTGTTGGTCTGGACACTCAGGATGGCCTCAAGGTGGTAACTGGCGGTGGCCGGCTGGCACTGTGGTGGGGGAGGTCTGATGCCAGGTCACTGACCCCTTGGCCCCAATTCCATCACAGATCTGGTTTAACAACAAGGGCTGGCACGCCATGGTGGCCTTTGTAAACCGAGCCAACAACGCTCTCCTACATGCCCACCTGCCACCAGGCCTCTCCCACCATGCCCACAGCATCACCACGCTCAATCACCCCCTGAACCTCACCAAGGAGCAGTTGTCTGAGGCTGCGCTGTGAGTCCCCCGACCCCGTGTATCCCCCCGCCTTGTGAGTTGCCCCGCCTTGTGTGCCACTCCACCTTGTGTGATCCCCTGTTCCAACCACCCCGGTTGGTCTCTCTGTTGTCTCTGGTGGTGGGAGCTGAAGTTACGCTCTGCCACACTCTTGCTGTGTAAACAGAGAACTAGAACTTCCCCTCTCCACCCCTTAGGCCAGGGTAATAGGGCATCATCAGGCTTCATGGGCTGCAGTCTCCCCCAGCTGCCTGCACGTTTTTGTCACATCAACATCTATCCTGCTAGAGACCTGGACGATCTCTCCCTGCCTAACAGTTCGAAATGGCTCAGGACATCCCCCACCAGCCATGTCCAGCCCCGGGGACCTCAATCCCATCAGTGATGAGCACAGTGATGAGCAGCTCATGCCCCTTCACCCCCAGGATGGCCTCCTCAGTGGACGTGCTTGTTTCCATCTGCGTGGTCTTCGCCATGTCCTTTGTCCCGGCCAGCTTCATCCTTGTCCTCATTGACGAGCGTGTCACCCGAGCCAAACACCTGCAGTGCATGGGAGGCCTGCCCCCCACTCTCTACTGGCTTGGAAACTTTCTCTGGGACATGGTGCGCAGATCACCTGGAGGGGTGGGGGCCCTGCCACCACTTGTCACTGCCTCTTCTGGCCCTTTATGGTCAAGAACTTGTCTAGGATGTCACCACTGAAGTCTTGGGGATAATGCAGACCTCGTCCTATTATCCAAAGCCCAGGGAGGTTGGGGTGGTACACAATGCCAAGGATGCCTGTGGGCTTCCCTGGTAGCTCAGCATACTGAGGGTGTAACCACCATCTCCAATGCAGTGTAACTACTTGGTGTCAGCGTGCATCGTGGTGCTCATCTTTTTGGCCTTCCAGCAGAGGGCATATGTGGCCCCTGCCAACCTGCCTGCCCTCCTGCTGTTGCTACTACTGTACGGGTGAGGTTCCCAGCCCCTCCAGGACTTGTTCTTACTGACCCCCTCGACTCCGTTGAGGGAGCTGGGACTCTATAGCAGCTTCTAAGGAGAGGATATGGAGATCTGAGAGGACCCCAAGTGTGATCTTATTCAGGGGTATGCCAAGGAGGCCTTAAAAGCTCATCTTGACCTGACCATGTTACAGAGGTCTACAACACAGTTTGGGAATGGGAGCTCTATATTCTTCTCAGGGCTGCTCAGCCTGTCTGGCAATAACAGTGGCTCCTGTTCCCCTCAGCTGGTCGATCACACCACTCATGTACCCAGCCTCCTTCTTCTTCTCTGTGCCCAGCACAGCCTATGTTGTGCTCACCTGCATCAATCTCTTTATTGGTATCAATGGCAGCATGGCCACCTTCGTGCTTGAGCTCTTCTCTGATCAGGTAGGACCCACAAGGCTGGTCCTTGGGTTGGGGTCAGACTGGGCCTCAACCTCAGTTTCTGACCCACCTCCTTCTTAATCTGCCCCTGAGCAGAAGTTGCAGAAGGTGAGCCGGATCCTGAAACAGGTCTTCCTTATCTTTCCTCACTTCTGCTTGGGTCGGGGCCTCATCGACATGGTGCGGAACCAGGCCATGGCTGATGCCTTTGAGCGCTTGGGTAAGAACTTCTCTCCAGGAGGGGAAGTGCCAGATAAGAGTCAATCCTACAGTGCAGGGACAAACAGCAGCCCCTGTTTGAAGCCCTGTAGGAAGAGAACTTGAGGTTTTAGATGACCTGGAAGGGTGGGTAGGCAAAGTTAAAAGTGCAGCAAAGCAGCCATAAAAGTTAATTCCATCTTGGTCATGTCACAAGAGGTCTAAGGCACTAAATAAAGGAGGTGGCAATGCCACGGTTTTCCACACCAATTAGACCCCAGTTGAGTGTCTATTCAGCTTGGTGCTTTCCCTTAAGAACCCAATGTGACCTGAATGGGGAGAGGCCCAGTAACCAAGACCCTAAAATGACCCTATCCCTCCTCATGTCCACACAGGAGAGGGGCATTTCCAGTCGCCCCTGCGTTGGGAGGTGGTCGGCAAGAACCTCTTGGCCATGTTCATACAGGGGCCAATCTTCCTCCTCTTTACACTACTGCTTCAGCACCACAACCGCCTCCTACCACAGTCAGTGGGGACCAGGGAGGGTGGCAGGGACTGGGGTCCGGCTCTGGGCCCACTCATATCTCTGTCCTCAGACCCAAGCTGAGGCCATTACCCGCCCTGGGAGAGGAGGATGAGGATGTGGCCCGTGAGCGGGAACGGGTAGTACAAGGGGCCACCCAGGGGGATGTGTTGGTACTGAGGGACCTGACCAAGGTGGGTTGGGGGGCCTCCACTGTTGGGTTGGGGGGCCTCCACTGTTGGGCTGGGGGGCTTCCACTGGCCTACCTTTCTCATGGACTTCCATCCTCCCAGGTGTACCCTGGGCAGAGGACACCAGCTGTTGACCGCCTGTGCCTGGGGATTCCCCCTGGTGAGGTAAGTCCAGGTGGTACAAGGGTGAGTGGCTGTCCTATTGTACACCCACTGGTCTTTACCATGTTTGTGTCTACCTCCCCCTATAGAACACCTACTCTGTGTCTGTCCTATACTCAGTACCTACTGGCTGTCAATATTTGAGCTCCTATTTATAGCCAACAAATCTCATGAAGCTCCTACTGCATGGTTACATTTATTGATCCCGACTGTGTGCAATAGGATTAACAAGATCTTAGTGAGGATAAATTTATTATTAAGCACCTACTGGGTTCCCATACATGTGCCAGTTACTATGTGCACCTACTATATGTTAGCATTTATTGAGTACCAACTGTATACAGTAAAGCTTGTTGAACCCCCCCCACCATTGTGTGTACCAAAAGTGTATTGAATGTCACCTTTGTGATGATCAACTTTTATCAAACACCAACATTTATTGAGTCCATATTGTATATGTATCAAGCACTTGCTCACAACCAATATTTAGTAGGCACCTGCTCTGTACCAATGCACATTCAAGCAACTACTTTGTGCAAACTTGTCTGCTGTGGTCCCTTTCCTGGCCACCTACTAGGGGCTGGCACACACCTGTGGACACTTGTGGTGTGTTGGTATAAATTGCCATCACTCTTTAGCAAATGCCTACTGTGTTCAGTCAACCTCTCCATCTTGGGTTGACTGTGTGCCCAGTATGAATTCTCACCAGGTGCTCTTGCTGTTGGTACCCACTAGCGTGGCATGAAACATTCAGCCAGCTCCTGCCTCAATATTTATGGAGCACTGACTGTGAGTGACCTTTATAGAACATCTACTGTGTCCATTGATTAAACACATGCTGTGTATCATCTAGCATTTCTGTTATGTGACAGCTTGTGCCTACTCACACACCCCAGTATCTGCCCAGGGATCCCCTTGCCCACAGCCCTCCCAGTGGAAGCTGAGAAACCCATCTCAGAAGTCAGAAATGCTGGGACAAGTGTCCGGGCTTCTATGAGTGCCCTCTGTGGGTGTACCTGCAGTGTTTCGGGCTGCTGGGCGTGAACGGAGCAGGGAAAACGTCCACATTCCGCATGGTGACTGGGGACACGCTGCCCAGTGGGGGCGAGGCCATTCTGGAAGGCCACAGGTGAGGGGCTCCTGGGCTCTTGTTCCTCCCCACCTCCCCCTCCTCTCGCATGTATGGACAGGATTGCCTGGCCTTGAGTCCCCCTGCAAGTGGACCCGGCCCTGAGTTACCTCCTGTCCCTTACCAGGGTGGGTGGGCCCCCTCTCATGGCCAGGGCCCAGCCAGTGCCCTGAGTTCCCTGTCCCCCATCCCGCATCCGCAGCATGGCCCAGGAACCGGCCGCAGCTCACTGCCGCATGGGCTACTGCCCTCAGTCGGATGCCATCTTCGAGCTGCTGACCGGTCGCGAGCACCTGGAGCTGTATGCACGCCTGCGAGGAGTCCCTGAAGCCCAAGTTGCCCAGGTGACCGCTCTCCCCACTAACCCCTCTGGTCCTCACCCCAGTCTCTCCCTTGGACCACAGTCTCTCTGCTGCTCTCGGTCCCCTGACCGTAGGTCCTCTGGCCCTGCCCCTGCGCTCCCTGAGTGCCTAAACACTTATTGGGTCCACCCCACACCCCCAGTCCTCCCACCGTCCTCAGGCTGCACTCTCCACCTCCCTGCTAGGGGCCCGCCCCTTCTCTCCTAGACCTTCCTGGCTATGGCCCCGCCTACTTTCATCTCAGGGTTAGGGCTTCGCTTCCTGGTGGCTTCCTGCCACTGGGCCAGGCCCTGCCTCTCTCTTGGTCTGGCCCCGCCTCCAGTCGCAGCCCCGCCCCGTACTCGCTCTGGCCCCACCCTCTTTAGTTACCTTCCCACGATATCCCTGGGCTTCCCTGGTGGCTCAGTTGGTTAAGAATCCGTCTGCAATGCAGGAGACCGGGGTTCGATCCCTGTGTCAGGAAGATCCCCGGAGAAGGAAATGACATCCCACTCCAGTATTCTTGCCTGGGAAATCCCATGGAGGAGCCTGGCGGACTCTAGTCCATGGAGTCAGAAAGAGTCCACCACCGAGCGACTAAACCACCACCATATCCCCTCCTTAGCCCCTCCCACTCACCCTGTACCCTATTCTCACTCTGCCCTTCCCACTCCATCCTGCCATAGACAGCAAGCTACGGCCTGGCACGCCTGGGCCTCCCTCAGTATGCTGACCGACTTGCGGGCACCTACAGCGGTGGCAACAAGCGGAAGCTGGCGACAGCCGTGGCTCTGGTGGGGGACCCGGCTTTAGTCTTTCTGGTATGTGTGTGCAGATGGGAGGACAGAGTGGGGTGAAGGGGCCGCATTTAAGCATCTCCCTGCTCTGTGCCCAGGACGAGCCGACCACTGGCATGGACCCTGGTGCCCGGCGGTTCCTCTGGAACAGTCTTCTGGCCGTGGTGCGGGAGGGCCGCTCCGTGGTACTCACCTCACACAGGTGGGCCTGGGGAACAGAGCAGTCTGGGACTGACAGGAAATGTCCAGAGCACAGGGTGGCCCAGAGCTGCAGGCTGAGGGTCCCTGGGGGGGGCAGCCCAGAGCCGAGCACCATGGGTCCAGGCCTGGTCAGAGCTCACATCACTGGGCTCCCACAGCATGGAGGAGTGCGAGGCACTCTGTACGCGCCTGGCCATCATGGTGAATGGGCGGTTCCGCTGCCTGGGCAGCACACAGCACCTCAAGGGCAGGTGAGTGGGGAAGGCCTCAAGGCCTGGGTGTGGGCAGATCAGGGTGGCGGTGTAGGTGGGCCTGGAGGGGAGATCAGGTGGGGCCAGTTTGAGTTCTAACCAGAGAACAGGCAAGGATCATGAACTGTCCAGGAGAGGGGGCAAGGCTGGACCGAGATGGGGAGGAGGTCTGAGGGGTGAAGGTGTGTCCATGCGCAGAGGCCAAAAAGGGTCCGGCAAGTGGGTATGACCTGGATATTGGTGTGGGGCATGGCATTGTGTGGGTAGGACCAGGAGGCAGCTGGGTTAGAGACTGGATGAGCATGTAGGCGGGGCTAGGAGCAGAGGTTGGGGTCAGGTTGGCCTGGGGTTCTGGAGGAGCCAAGTATAGTGGTGGGGCTAGAAGAGGGCTGGATGATGGTATGGGCGGATCCATTAGCTATGGTCTACCCCACCCCACCCCACCCCACCCCAGATTTGGGGCTGGCCATACACTGACCCTGAGGGTGCCCTTGTCGAGATCCAAGTCGGCGGCCGACTTCGTGGCCCAGGCATTCCCGGGAGCTGAGCTGCGGGAGGCACATGGTGGCCGCCTGCGCTTCCAGCTGCTGCCAGGAGGGCGCTGCACCTTGGCGCTCGTCTTTGGATTGCTGGCGGCAAGCGGCGCAGAGCACGGTGTGGAGGACTTCTCTGTGAGCCAGACCACGCTGGAGGAGGTGACCGCTGCGCCAGGACGGGGCTGGGGGTAAAGATGGGGTTGGGGGTAAACATGGAGTTGGGGGCTAGGCCCTCAAGCTGACCTCCTCTCCTGTTTCCCTGGGCCATCCACTCTTAGGTATTCTTGTACTTCTCCAAGGATCAGGGCAAAGAGGAAGATGAGAAGGAGACAGAAGTGGGGGCTGACCCTGTGCCAGGCCCACAGCGCCCCAAACTCATAACCCAGTTCCTTGATGACCACGGCATGGCTGAAACGGTCCTCTGAGCCTCCTCCTCTATGGAGCTGGGGGGACCAAAGCAGGGCAGAGGGGCTGAAGCCTGACCCAGACTCCAGAGGCCCTGGAGGAAATAAAGGGAAGCTGTGGTGTGAAGCACCATGCACCTGTGTCCCTGTGCCAAGTTGCATATTCATCCCAAAATGGCTCTGTACATGTGCCTGGACACTGGGCTTGGCACAGAGTGTGTGCTGGAGTGAGTGTGTGGATGCAGATGTGAACCTAGCTACAGCTAGCTGGACTCCCAGCTGTGAAAGCTTGTGTGGTGGCTGGAGAGTGTCTCCTGTGCAGGTGCACCCTTCATAAGAGCCTGGACACTGCTCCCAGAGCCCCTGAGTGCCCCTGTAGTTCTGACGCCTGAAGGCGGTACCTGTGAGTGGCTGGATCTGAAGTGGGCATGAAGTCAGGGCTCAGGAATGTCTGGGGCAGCTGGGGGAGCCCAGAAGGGGTGGCCCAGACTTAAGGCCTCCAACCAGGCAGAGGCCCACCAGCTAGCCAGCCCTGCAGCCGGCCCTCATCCCCCGATCCTGGCATCCAGAGCGATGAGTGGTGGACAGAGGATCCTCAAGGGCCTTCTGGGATGGGTTAGTGGATGGACCTGGGCCTGGAGAACTGGGTTTGCCGTGAGGGGCTGTGGCCTGCGTGCCCTATGCCCTGGAGATCTGCCCCTCCCACCTGAGGTCAGTGGGGGCCAATGGTGGGGAAGGGGTAGGGGATAAGGGGGTGAGACTCCAGAAGGGGAGGGGAGGAAGATTGGGGGAGGGGAAAAGGCTCAGATTATGGGGGCTCCAAGATAAGAGGTGGTTATGGGGGGAGAGGGTACAGGGGGTGCTATACACACTGCCAACGCCCCAGGTCTGGGGACCAAGCCAGGGAGGGAGGAGGCAGCATGGTGGCCTCAGCAGTTAGCATTAGGGTTAGCCTGTCCTGCTGAGTGTCCCCAGAATGTAGAATCAGGGGTGGGGATGGGAGATGGATGGAGGGAAGGCAACCCACTATACCCTGCACTGTTCCCTGGGGTCTGCAGAGGGGGTTGCCAAAGGGTGGAGGGCGGCCATACACAGAAGCGATGGGAGGACTGGAAGGCAGGTGCCTGTGTCCAGGGTACCCATTGCATCAGTGGAACTGGGTGGCTTCTGAGCACACATCAAAGTCTGTGTCCCCACATGTCCGTCACGTTCAGGTATCTGTGCTCCTAGGTGCATCTGGGTGTGGCCGAGTGGGGGTGAGCATCTCTGCCGTCGCTGTGTCCCTGCTGGGGTCAGGTGCCTGGGGCATCGGTGTCTTGTCTGGGGCATTGCCGTCAGGCAGGGCCTGGCACCTCGGCGAATGTGCACACGCAGAGCTCAGGAAAGCGGAAGCTGGGGGCGGGGCCTGGGACCCCACCTTCGAGCCCACTGTGCGGAGGGGCAGGCTGAGGCTGAGGCTGGGGAGGGTCAGGGGCGGGTCTGAGTCACCGCCTCCGGAGGCCTTTTCCTGTGGGGGGAAGCGCCCGCCAATGAGGGCTGGGCCTGTCACGTGAGCCTGACAGCTGAGGAGGGGGTGGCCAGCGGCAATGTGCTCCCGAGGCCACCAACACCAGGAGCTGTGGTACTGAGACCCCCGGCCTACCTCCCCCAGCCTGCCCTCCTTGGGCTTCTCAGGCCGCTGGGCCCGGCCCCACCATGTTCTCCAGGAAGAAGAGAGAGCTCATGAAAACCCCGTCTATCTCGAAAAAGAACCGGGCGGGAAGCCCCTGCCCACAGCCCTCGGGGGTGAGTGAGCCTCTAAGGGGAGCACGGAGCGGGCGGGGACCTTGGAGCGACAGCTGGGCAGCACGGGGACAGGAGGACACCCTGTGATCAGGCCCAGCAGGGCAGGGCCAGGCAGTGACATGCTGGGCCAGTGGCGGGGGGCACGAGCCAGCTACAGCCCCCACCAGGCTGGACTGCAGGGGCCTCGCAGGATGGGCTGGGATCCTCGCGTTCAGCTTACGGTAGGAGCCCTTGGGACGGCCATGAACTCTCCCACCCTACCCAGTGCTGGCTGTGGGGTCCAGGGAGTGGTGGGGTGGGTACCAGAGTGTGGGTGCATTGGGCCTGGACTCCGTCAGGTGGGGGCTCAGGAAATTTGGGGTCTCCAGGCACCGTTAGATCTGAGAGCTATAGCCAGACTGTTAGGCAGAAGGTTTATAGCAGAGTGTGGAAGGAGACCCACGGGGGCAGGCCTGGTGCAAGCCTGGGGGTATCTACAGGGCCGGTGGTGTCTGTGGGCTCAGGAGTCTGCTGGACCCTCAAAGGACAGGAACCGAGGAGGTGTCTACCAGTGAGTAGGCATCTGCAGTGGCCTCTACTGAGGCAGTTCAGGAGACCCCAGCCCTCCCTCCCCCACTCCCTCCCCTGCCTCCGGAAGTGGGGCGCCCCTCCCCCACCCGGGCTGTGGTTTGGGCAGAGACGTTGTTTGTGAAAGCTCCAGGAGAGGACGTTGGGTAACAGGTGTGGGAGGGGCAGGACACCAAATCTCAGCCCTCTGACCTGTGGCCTCTGACCCCTATGGGGTCAGGCTGAAGACCCTCCAGAGCCCCACTTCACTTCCAGGGAAACTGAGGCAGGGCCTGATAGGAGCACCTGCTTTACCAGCTCCCCCCACCCTCCCAGGAGCTGCCTAGGAGAGACGGGGCTGATGCAGTGTCCCTGGGGCCCGGCCTAGAACCACCAAGTGTGGCCTCGAATGCTAAGGCCACGGGCACTCTCAAGAGGCCCACCAGCCTGAGCCGCCATGCCAGCGCTGCTGGCTTCCCTCTGTCGGGGGCCAGCACTTGGACGCTGGGCCGCAGCCATCGCAGCCCACTGTCTGCGGCCAGCCCAGCCGAGGCACCCATCCAGGGACCCTGCCCAGACACCGTGGAGGACATCTCCCACCTGCTGGCTGACGTAGCCCGCTTTGCCGAGGGCCTTGAGAAACTGAAGGAGTGTGTTCTGCATGATGGTGAGAACTGGCAGGGACACCAAGGCCTGGGTGGAGGAAGGCAGGGTCAGACCTTAAAACCTAGGGGGTCAGCACAGGGTTGGGGAGGGACTTGGGGAGGCTCAGAAGGAAGTGGTTGGGAGGGCTTTGTAGAAAATGCAGCTAGGGTTCTGACAGATGAATAGGAGTTCAGTGGCAACTAGGAAGGAAAGGCATTGAGGTAGAGGGAATGTCATGTGCATAGAAACACAAAGTAGAGATGCATTTGGGGAATAAGGTTCAGGTGTATGAAATGTGTTAGGCTGAAGACATTGAGAATGGCAAGCAGAGGGACCCTGGATGTTATCCTGAGGGTGCTGGGGAGCCATAGAAGGTGTCAGAGCAGAGGTGGAACAAGGTCAGATCTGCATGTTGGACTGAAGTGAATGAGAGGCAGACTGAGGTCTGGACACAGAGACTCAGGAGGGACAAGGGGCAGGACCGGCACGTAAGCTGCGGGAGTGAGCGGGCTGTGGATGGCAGTTCCGTTTTCTCCACGCGTCCGCTGACAGCCCAGCTTCCTGCCGAGTTATTTTCATCTGCTTCCTGTTTGTCCCTGACAGCCAAGGAGGGCACTGTGATCTCTCCTGCCGGAAACCGCAGTGCCAGGGCCATGTTAAACACCCTGGTCTGCTCCTTTCAGGTACCCATTTTATGGATGAGGAAACTGAGGCTCAGGGTGGCCCCCTGACTCCAGCTCACCTGAGCCAGAGCCCAGGTTCAACCTCCACCTGGAGAGGGACCTCAGCTTTGCAGGCTGTAATGGGGAGCTTCCCTGCTGGCCAAGCCTCTGCTGGGGGGGGGAGGTGGTGTCAGCCTTTGGGGTTATCTGGTCCTGGGGTGGAGCTGGACTTGTTTCCTGGGGAAACTCTCTAATCTCGGTTCCTTTCCGATCCTAGCGCTTCCTTGGAGGCCAGGCCTGGGCGGAGCTCAGCCTGTGGGGATTGTGCAGGAGGATGGCCAGGGCAGGGGCCCCCTTCTTTGCACCTTGGGGCAGCCCTGGTCAGAGGGAAGGGCCTGGAGTAGAGAGGGTTTGGGTTTGAATGCTGGTGCTGCCCCTGCCGGCCTGGGAGACCCTGGTATTTCATCTGTGAAATGGGGCAATGACACGCCCTGCAGGGATGCTGGCTGTGACCAGAGGTCCTCAGCCTACAATGATGGTTGGGGGATAGCCAGACGGCTTTCAGCCTGGGAGGCAGTGAGCGCAGGGATCCACGTGGGCGGGGTCTCCCTGCACCTCCCCACACCATGTACCTGGGCCTGTTTCCCTGTCTGCCCTTGGCAGCCCCATCCCCAATGGAATCACATCTACTCGGGTCTGAGTCCTGATCCTTGAGTTTGGGGAGCCGAGAACCCCAGCCAGGGCTCGCGGGATTCCAGGGGGCGGAGCTTTCCTCGGAGGAGGCGGGGTCTTTGGACCGGCCAGAGCCGGTTTGGCTGATGAAGACGCTGTACCAAAGCCCATATTCCGTCTTGCGCGTTCACGGTCTCCGCGCTCTGACGGTACACCATGTGTATCTGCGGGACGGTGCACCCCGCGCTGGACCAGAGGCCTGTGCGCTGCCAGGCAGGGCCCCGAGGTGAGAAGACGGTGCGGGGTGTGGGATGCAGGCGCTGGTCAGGAGCACGTGGCGCTCTGGGCATTTGCCTGCCCACTGGGGACGCAGGGCTACCGGGCGCTTACCTTGGCCGGTGCAGACCTGGGCATGTCTGGGCTTCGCCAGAATCCCATCTGCCCGGGTGGGGGTGCTGCGGGGACCCAGGTGGCCGAGGCCCAGGAGACACGAGGGGCGTTGTGCCTGGGAGGAAGGTCTGGGGAAGGGGTGGAGCCGGCCTCCCTGGATTCCTGAAGCTCCTTCCGGCCTACCGGAGTTCCCCGCTGATTCATGTGCAAATCCTGAATCCGAGGAATGTTGGGGCCAAGGACTCCATAGGGGTCTCCCTATCGGTGGTATTCAGTGGGTCCTCAGTGCTGAAAAGGGATCAGACACCTATTTCCAGATTC